CAATTATCTTAACGTGTTTCCTATAGTCAGATCATGGTTCAGTTATCTTAACGTGTTTTCCTATGGGAAGATTAAGGTTAAATTATCTCAATTGTTTCCTATAGTTATATCGAGGATCGTTATCTTGTTTTCCTATAGTCAGATTTAGATTTTATCGTGTTTTACTATAGTCATATCGGGGATGGTTATCTGAACGTGTTTCCGTATAGTCAGATTTAGCATTACGCGCTCAGTAACTGTTGTTATATTACTAAATTTCCAAAACTCAAAATCAAAGTTAAAGAATACAAATATTTATGAAGCAATTTAAGCACTTTTTACAATTCAACGTTTTATTGCATTTGAATTTTTTTAAAGAACCAAAATGAATTATATTTTGTTGTCAGCAATTTCGATTCATTTGAAAAATTCCCAGTTGATACATGTGTTATTTAATGTTTCTGAGAGCCTTTTGTACATTGTGTTCATTTAAAACTAGCCAAAGTTCGTGTTTAACCACGATAGTTTAACTATGTATATATATGTAAATGTTCGCTGTCTGGTAATCCCACAACTTCTAGATTCTACATGGTAACCCATAGTTAAAATAGGACTTTATTTTGATGGCCGTTCGAAATCACGTGGACATCATTCTAACGTGTTACATAAAATTGATACAAGTCATTATCACTATGGCTTATTGTAAGATATATAGTATTGCCTACTTAAGCCACTCCTTATTCTATTGATAACCTTTGAATATCTTAATACGCTGAATTCCAACGACGGTAATTACATCCTCGTTCTGATTAATATATCTACAATCTATGTTATGAACTTTTTAAGAAGTCGATTGTTTACCAAATGTTTATTCTATGGTGCCATGGATTTGAGGAAAATAACCTACGGCAGCTAAATCACGCGACTTACTTCCCGGTTCGAAGATACTGTAAACAAAAACTAAATCTAATTAGATTTGAAAAAACTCCGGTCGTAAAATAGTATTGTTTTCTGATAAATGTGTTAGCATCGTGAAAAATATATATCAAGGTCTAAGCTGTGATAGTTTACTCGGAAACAAGAAATAAAAATTAGATAAAACTTTCGTAGAAGTGGTATACCTTTCATAAACCTGCTAAAATATCGTAGTTGATTTAACAGCATTTACATGTGGAGATGAAATATGTCATTGAGTTTAATAGTTTATTCTGCAATAAACACTTCCCGTAAAACAGACTATGAACTACCACAACTCGTAGGCATAGAGGGATTTAGATAGCCCCTCATATGAAAAATGCCTAAAGGCGCGTAAATAGTTAGTATTTTAATTCAAGTGGTCTAGTATTTAAAATACCAAGGACGCTTAAATTCCCAATGCCAAATGTCATAACAGAGTGCTTAAAATGTCAACGACATCTACGCGAAAAAGTGGAGAGTAGTGAAAGGCAATACATTGATTTCCATAAGAGTAATATTGTATGGGCGGTTTTAAACAAGGGGAAGTGGTAGCTAAACATTTTTATCACACCTTGGTCCATCTGACGTTTTTTGATGCTCTCTGGAGAAAAAAAGTAACTAGGTGATGCAAAAATGGTGATCATGGCACAGCATTTTCGTTATGGAGAGCAAAATCAGAAAGGGCGTTTCTGCCCAGATTTCTTTTTAAATTCTCCATTTGATTAATGACACTATCGGCAGAATTTATTGAAGAACTCTCGTATTCTCACAGTTTGCTCATTCTCTGATATATTTCTATTCATACTAGTTCTATGTTGTTATATACGATATGATGGTTGCAATAGATTTACCACCAAATTTCCAGGTGGGAGTTCCTAGTCGATGGAATGTTATAACAATGACTTCTGAATCACCGAACATATGTGTGATCACTGTCGTACGATAATATCAGCAATGTTTTGTTAGGTAGTAATACCAATCTTCCCGGGAAATTTTAATCATTATAACTAAGGCTAAACACTTCCTTCTTCTCTTCGTGGAATCCATGTCATGGATGTTTTGAAGAAAATTATTGTAAAATAATACCTATTTAAAATGGCACCTTGGAATGAATCCAGATTTATTCTCTTGACTTTGCTTTGATCTAAACATATCTCCGCCATAACCTACCTTTTGATTTGTGTGTATCATCACTTATGATGTACTCCGCCATAACCTACCTTTTGATTGGTGTGTCTCATCACTTATGGTTAACTCCGCCATAACCTACCTTTTTATTGGTGTGCCTCATCACTTATGGTGTACTCCGCCATAACCTACCTTTTGATTTGTGTGTCTCATCACTTATGGGTTACGCCGCCATAACCTACCTTTTCATTGGTGTGTCTCATCACTTATGATGAACTCCGCCATAACCTACCTTTTTATTGGAGTGCCTCATCAGTTATGGTGTACTCCGCCATAACCTACCTTTTGATTTGTGTGTCTCATCACTTATGATGTACTCCGCCATAACCTACCTTTTGATTGGTGTGTCTCATCACTTATGATGTACTCCGTCATAACCTACCTTTTGATTGGTGTGTCTCATCACTTATGCTTTACTCTGCCATAACCTACCTTTTTATTGGAGTGCCTCATCAGTTATGGTGTACTCCGCCATAACCTACCTTTTGATTGGTGTGTCTCATCACTTATGATGTACTCCGCCATAACCTACCTTTTGATTGGTGTGTATCATCACTTATGATGTACTCCGTCATTACCTACCTTTTGATTGGTGTGTATCATCACTTATGGTTTACTCCGCCATAACCTACCTTTTGATTGGTGTGTCTCATCACTTATGATGTACTCCGCCATAACCTACCTTTTGATTGGTGTGTATCATCACTTATGGTTTACTCCGCCATAACCTACCTTTCGATTTGTGTTTCTCATTATTCATAATTATTGCCTGTATTATGCTTTTGAACAACCGCTTTGTAAAGTCGTGTTTTCAGGTCCAAACGTTGGCATATTTAGACTTAAAACTATTAAACTTTCCACCGTATACAAATACCAGTTTATCTTTATACCAAGTACTGAAAATGTCACTTAGATTAAGAAATTATCAGAATCGGGCCTACTTCAGATATTTTCCAGGACTTCGATCCGAATACTTTCCCATTTTCAGTAAATAAAAATTACTATTGATAATGACTTTAAAGTGCCTAATTTGCATGTTTTGTGTAATCTACCAGTAAACGCTGTCTCTGTTTCCATGTTTACTCTTCAGTTTAACCTTCCAGGTTAATTCTTCTCTTGTCATCTGTATATGACAATATTCTCTTTTGAGTGTTCCCTATGTTGTGCATGGATGTCAAGTCTTACCAAGTCTTGTAAGTATCGAAGATACATTTACTGTTCATGACCAAATAATGAAAAATCTCCCCATTCTTACCCGTGCCTTCATCTAGGTGGAATCAGTATCTTTTCCAAACTAAACGCGCAAAATACTGAACAGATACCACGTACTTATAACTCCAGTTTCGAATTATCAATTGTAAACTTACAAATTACAATGCAAGCTAAAATGCAAATTGTATGCAAGATGTACAGCTAATATTATCTTCTGACCTTATCAAACGTAATGGTACATGAGAAGCTGGGAACTATTGTGTTTATGTACTTAAGATCACTCATTATCACATTTTATCAATAAGCCCAATGACGATTTTGTGCATCCACACTAATTGTTATAGAAATCACGATGACTATAAAGATATATAAATATTTTAGAGCAATATTGTCGTAGTGGAAATGGCGAACACTAGAAAATCGCAGATATGTATAAATTTTCAATCTGCACATTTAAAACGCTGTTTGAAAACAAAACTAGCCAGATCAGATTTTATAATTTATTTCAAATAATTGTATTAGATTCGGCTGTTTTGTATTGGTAGTGCACGAATATCATATGTAGTGAGAACGACGCACGCAGGTCTACTATTTCTTACTGTTGATATTTGTTTACGGCCTTGACAGATATGTCGACAATACCGATCTATAATTTACACTAAACCAGCTGAAATAGGCTACGTCATAATGGTATTCCTATTCTAGTTCCAGTTAAATCCCTTCAAAACTTCCTGCTTTTAACAATGGTATGGTTCACTGAATTGTACCTGTCCTAAACATATGTAAAACAAAAAGTCTCAGCACTAAGTGCGGTTGGGTATCTGGATTTTCTTTACTGGTGTCAGTTGCGAAAATCGACCGACACAAGGGAGCCTGAAGTTGGTTCCCAATTCCGAGCTCCGGAAATGGGAGCCAGATCCAAGTTCCATTTAAGGAAAAAAATTCTGTTGACAAAACGAAAGATCCAACACGCATGATATAATTCTAATTCGGTACAGGAATCGAACCTATAATCTTTCAGATAAATATTAAGACTTTCATAGCTTTTGAAACGAAATATGTCCCATATTGAACTTATGTTGAAAATCCAGTCCTATATAAGACCTATCCCACTGTTTATAGGGAGTACACATCGTATTACGTGATCACGGTATAAGCGGCGGAACAAATATTATCATTTAGTTTAATGTTACTGTCTGTTCGATTCAATTTGGGACGAAATCACAAGCACAGTGTCGATCATTAAAATGAAAAAGGAAGGGTTGCGCCCAGCTGTCTTTCTATATATATTTTTATTCTGATAAAAATCGAAATGTCAACACATAATGACACAAAGTAAATGAGGATAACAAAAGTGATTTAAAACAGGAAATGTAACGATCACTTTCTCCCCAGACACCAATCAATCATTCAAACTATTACATACACGTATTATGTTATAGTATTTACCATTACGCCTTAACTTATGGCGTAAACAAAACACACGGGGTACAGAACAAGTCAACTTTGGATTAGCGTTGATTGTGATAGAAACGGATGCTGTGATTGTTATATATATATTTCTTGAACTCTTGTTAGATTTTTTTTACTGGAAGTTACAAAAACATCGCTCGTGTTTTTTATGTTCGGTCTGTTTTTTCCCTGGGTTTGTTTTACATGTAACTTTAACAAGCTATATTAACATTGTTAGTATTGCACAAATCCCTGTGGTCGTCACAAATTTTACTGAATGCGGACGATTTGAGTTTGGCGATGAATTCAGTCTTTGCAGATAATATGAAAGTGGAGTCGGTACAGTTGATTGCACTACTTGTATTCGTACTTGTAAGAGAATATGCTGAAATATAGAAGACGTGATGTAATCAGTTGGAAATATCATTTGAGAATGAATAAAAGGCATAATATATTGTGGTATTGTACACTTGTTCATGACAAACAAGACAACACTTTTTTACAAAAGCTGCGATGTCAATATCGCGCATAAGTCTAATGTGTTAATTGTCTGATTAACTTACATTTTATACATACCAAATATTTTGTAAATTACTTCTATAGAGATAATACATATACGATATTATATAATGAATTGATGTACATCTATGAATTTTTATTGCTTTACTTTTTTTTTTTTTTTACATAAATCTGCACACATAGTATTCAACTTACATCTGCAGGTGAGCGGTTCCTGGGTGATAGGGGCCCAGTCTCCGGATGCCCCGCAGACATACCATTGGTCAGGGTCAACAGAGACGGGAAGAAAGTAACCAGTGTGACAAACAACTTGGCAGTACCGACCGAAGTCTGTCTTCCAGTCGTTACACACTACAGCACCGTTCTCGGGCACCAGCAGGTCCTCACACGGCGTAGCTGAATAGAGGACAGTAGACTATGACTACGACTCTATTTAGGCTGCACATGGCATAGTCACAAAGGAGTCAGAAAATATTCAAATCATCTTGTCCAATAGATATCTGAAGTATTGTTTACAACATACATGTACAAACATTTCTCTCATAGCGTGCGTTGTACTCTGATTAATTCTTAAAATCATATTTGACATGTTTTGTGTTTTAAAACCAAGCACAATACTTACGTTTCACATCAACATTTATAATACATTCTGCAGTCTGTCCGTTAGAGGGTTTCACTGTTGCATATTGTATCACAAAATCACCCCAGTGAAATTCGCTTTCCGGTTTGGGATAATTTGTGAAAACTTGTACCTCGTTCCCAAAAGGATCGAAGATTGTTGGTGCCGTCCAGTTGACGAAATGTAGTGGGGACGTGGCATTGGCACTAATGTTGAAATCACAGCCTGTGATCACAGGGGGCTGTATATCTGGAGTGATATATTCATTTAGATTTGATTATAATTATCGAGATACTATTAACTATACTGCTCTAATTGGACGTACCTTCATGAAAACGGAGACGTGCTAACCTTTTATTTGAAAAGACTTTACCTTTGTCCAGTTTGATGAGCTTGTTTATAACGTGTCTCCTTTCAATCACTTTTACATATCAAATATACCATGGTATTTCAATTAGAAATATACGTTATCGATCAATTAAAAAAATTTGTGCTTGTGCATTGCATTGAACACGTTCCGATTCGAAATAAACAGTCACTCAGTTACCATTTGTTTGTACATCTGTAATCTATACAACAATGTCTATTTACAAACCTTCTGCACATGTTAAACCACTCCAACCAGGCAGACAGGAACAGGTAAACATCTCTACATTATTAGTACACGTGCCACCATTAGCGCACGGGTTACTGGAGCAAGTGTTCGAAACTGATGAATAAACACAAGAGCACATTGTTATTAAATTTGTAAAACACTGGATGGAATTAAGTTAATAACCAAGAAAAGTACATATAATTCAAAATGTTAGATGTTTATTTCTAAATATAGTATATACTTATATTTCTCTACGTACATGCGCATCTTGGGTTAGTCCCACTCCACGTTCCGGACAGCTGACATGTCCTCGTCTGTCCACCATCCACCAGCGTGTAATGAGTGTTACAAGAATATCCTACACTTGCCCCATACGTGTACACACTTCCGGTCACCTGACCATTATCTGGAGGTCCCGGGTGACCACAGTTTATTTCTTGTAAGAGAGAAAACAAATAGCATTTACGGTATGACATACTGACTTTAAAAGTTAAATTGAAGAATGAAGTGATGACATAACAACTTTGTTTAATGTTTAGTTTTTCTTATGTTTGTCGGCTTGAATCGAAGCACGTGCAAATGATAAAAAAAAGTGTACACACTTTATGTACACGAAAATATCAGTTCATTACAACATATACTATTTTTACGACAAAATGAATTTCATAAAAATCTCCCATCGCACCAAATACCCATCGCACCAAATAAAATGCTACACCTCTCATCGAAAGCGTCCGAGCACAAGATGTGATAGTAAGATATAGTCATTAAAAATATCCATTTAAATGTCCCTTTCGTATCAACAAAAATGTAATAAAGAAGAAAAATTGTCTGTATTAGATTCCCAGTTATCATCAACATCAGCTTCGGATTAATATTGCAATGTACCAGTTCAAAGCTTGTTTGTACATCGCGTGTAGACGATGGTGTATAACAGTTTCATCAGGAGACATTGCAATAAAGTGCACCACTCACTTTAGATATAAAAGTATGTAAACAAGTAATAGCGACTGGTGGTGAACAGTTATAAAACTGCGATTAGACATAATGTGTCCTACTTGCAGCTATCAAAATGTTTCAAGAAAACTGGACAAAAATTACACTAGGTGTCGAAGGGCTGTCAAATACTATTCAAATAAAATCAAGCCAAACTCTGAACATAAACAAGATTGTACTAAAGAAGCACAACTGCATAGCACCTTAACACAATTGAATAGCACATTCAATACAGCTTAAGAGTAAGATACAGCCAAGCAATGAACTCAGCTGCATCATACAGCTATTTCGGCCGTGTAGGACTCGTCAGTGATGCTACATCATACTGCTGTCTCGTCCTTCTAGGACTCGTCAGTGATGCTACATCATACTGCTGTCTCGCCCTTCCAGGACTCGTCAGTGATGCTACATCCTACTACTGTCTCGCCCTTCCAGGACTCGTCAGTGATGCTACATCATACTGCTGTCTCGTCCTTCTAGGACTCGTCAGTGATGCTACATCATACAGCTGTCTCGCCCTTCCAGGACTCGTCAGTGATGCTACATCATACTACTGTCTCGCCCTTCCAGGACTCGTCAGTGATGCTACATCATACTGCTGTCTCGTCCTTCTAGGACTCGTCAGTGATGCTACATCATACTGCTGTCTCGCCCTTCCAGGACTCGTCAGTGATGCTACATCATACTACTGTCTCGCCCTTCCAGGACTCGTCAGTGATGCTACATCATACTGCTGTCTCGTCCTTCCAGGACTCGTCAGTGATGCTACATCATACTGCTGTCTCGCCCTTCCAGGACTCGTCAGTGATGCTACATCATACTACTGTCTCGCCCTTCCAGGACTCGTCAGTGATGCTACATCATACTGCTGTCTCGTCCTTCTAGGACTCGTCAGTGATGCTATTGGCCTAAATTTTGAAACCTAGAAGGCGGTTGAGGAAATTCAATGTGATCGAAAGAAAAGTCAGTTACCAGATGGGGAGGTGAACTAGCCTTATAATTTAAGAAATTTTGTAATTTTAAGCACGCTTTTACATAAACATACACAGGTGTAATTGCTAGCGTGACATGGTATTATCTGAATACTGCATTTAAAGATCACACCTCAGATATTATCTTAAATTGGCATACCATAAATTGAAAACTCCTACTTACGGTAATTGCAGCAATTTCCATAATAACCAGCAACGCATGTGCAGCCACTTCCGAAACTACTGCCACCGTTGTGGCATACCTCGTTACATCCGGAGTAACTATAAGCAAGATCACTTGTCGCACAGTCACTGAATTCGTCACATCCTTCGTAAAAGAAGATATTCACCAGTCTCTCACGTTGTCTCTGACCGAAGCAAGCGCTAGTACAGTCAGACCATGGTTGCCAAGCAACCCAAGAACAGTTGCAGTGGTTCCAGGTTGCAGCACGTCCTCCTGATACAGAGCGGTATGACAGCTGCCATTGTGTCAGCAGAACCAGAGATCCGCCGATGAACAACGCTATCTGAATTAATAAGTGACTTATCGGATACAGATTTAACAGAGACAACAAGTCACACCACCAATTTATTACGGGTTAGCTTGATAAGTATGTACCCAGAAGAGAGAAAATCCCATTATCGGCTCTACTCGAAACAAGACAGCAAGTAAAAATCGAAAGATTCGTATGAAAGTGATAGTTTTTTCAGTAGTTATTGAAAACGGTCGTATTTGTATACAAATGAACAAAAAACATGAACTCCGAAAGAGGTACATGTTATTAACAATATTTCGATTACCAGGGTCATCTATACACGTGTGCAGTGTGTTGTTTTAAATCAAATATAAAAGCTATGGCATATAATATACGCGAAAGTTAAACGATGAAGGATCTATGTAACTAGAAAAGTTATTATGACATTCTTAACGGCCCGTCAACACATAAAAGGTCATTAGGTCCATCAAACGGTAAAACACACAGCGAAACTAGAGAAGAACTATTATATAGGCACGATCAAATCAATAAGAATGGAGATTTTAGTGGGCATATCATCATCAAGAATAAAAACATACTTACATTTAGTTCCCCCATATCTCAACTGCACTTGGAAATTTTACAGGATACTTCCGGCTTGGTGGTTTATCTAATACATATTTCAAGCTACCTATAAATAATTTCACGTTAACACGTGCATGGTATTTCCAGATAATATAGGGATCATTAACCAATCAAATATATCGGTCTAATGTTCAATAGATATACGTACCCGTGCACGCCCATTCGGAAATACAAAACTTGATAGGTATATACCGATATCATGTTTACACATTGAAAGGAGAATATAACGGGTTGTTTGTAAAATATTTGAAGTATTATCTTGATGTTTAAGGAAGTGATCTTTCTGTACGAGATAAAAACATCTTCAAAATAGACCGTCGTAGAATTGCCGAAATGTTGCTGATATTCATTGGCCTGTTATGCTTATCAGGAACGCACGGATCGTTTTCTGACATTCAGCTGCGGGCTAAAGTAAGTAAATCTTCTTGTTTATTAATTATCTTTTTATTGGTTTGAAATCGTTTTACAAGTTTTAAAAAATGTGACGGTGTGATCGAACCTCTTTCGAGAGCAATGACATTTAGCCCACGGCCGATTTCAGTATATGCAATTGGATAACTTCTACGTAAATTCTGGTAAAAGTAGTCCGTCTGTTGTCATTTTCCTTCCTTACACTGCTCCTAATGATCCGCCATTAATTATTATCAGTATGAAATGGCAAACTCTCTAAAGGTGATTGATCTCTTTACGACAGCAGTCGGCTTTAAGCTGAAGTAACTGAGATCTTAAATCTATAAAAAAAATATTATTTCATGTCTTTTTAAGGGAGATCATTTCCTTTAAAATATACGGAATTGAATTGTTTTCTTTTTTGTGCCATGAAAAAGACGCTGAAAAATAGAGAGTATTTGTTTCTGCACGATTACTACTGCTTTAAGTAATATACGAAGTTATACTGTTTTCTTTCATACGGTAACAGAACAGTCGTGATTATTGTAGCAGTATATGACACACTTACTATACAGGTGATAGACAAGTACACATATTCTGATTTGTGGTATTGGGTGGGTGAGAACTAGATGGACGCCGGTACTGGTGAGTGGCCATCTATTTACTGTACTGTCACCGGAGATGTCAGCAGTAAACTTAATGGTCACGTGGAATTCATTTGCAAAACAAATGAAATTCTCAAGAGATTCTCGACCGAATGTCCACTTGATCTCAACGCCATCCTCGTGTGGGATGTTATGTATACAAAATTTAATGTAGCTTGAATTCGGGTGTCAGAGTCCTTTATGAAGATACATGTACAAATGAGCTTACAGCGGTTAGCTTGAAAGTCTAGCGGGACCACAATTAGTATCAATTATATCTACTGACAACCAGCATATTGTATTTTTGAGAAAAAAAATTGCATATATGCATCGATATGTCTATTTCATTTTTGATGTATTAGACACCAGGTAATTGGATATGTATATCTTTTATATCGATTTGTCTGTTTATATTATAGAGTTTTTGCTCGCTTGCAACGTTCAACGATGTAGAGGACGTTGTTTGCGAAAATGACGGTGTGCTTATAGAGACTGATTTGGTGCCATCCGGTGCGCACTGTGTCATTACGCGCAACAACGTTGACCAGAACCTCAAATGCAAGACTGGTATCTGGTATAACGTGGACGCATATGAAGGTGAGAACAAAGGTCTCCAGTGCTATACTTATTATATGTTTAGTATACGTTTATTGATGTTTTCATTTTGTAATGGTATACGTTTTCATCATTGGGACATATATGTAAGAGGTTACCATCATTTCGGGATAAGTAGTGTATGATTTTGCAATAAATCTGAAATTTGCATGGCTGGTTGCCGTGTCGTAAATAAGAATGAAACGCTTAGCCTTCTGACATCGTATCGACCTATCATTACCAATAACCAAATTGTTCTCCTTAATGACTAAATTCGTTGACGCAGTCGCTTGATTTTGTTGAAACCGAAATTTTTTCATATAAATCTCTTCAGTTGTCAAAAGTTGTTTAATCTATGGTGAGGCAAACACTCCTTTCTTACTTGTTGAACTCAAAAAGTAAACGAATCGTGCCTTTGAAATCTTATTGAAAAATAATAGATCGCAATAATGAAGCTTTACACAATTTTTTTTAGGAAAGATATTAAAGAGAGTGAGAAAAGGATGGTGGTGGGGTAAGTAATAAAATTAAAGTTGTGTACACTATTTCAGCATGTTAGCCTGCTTTACATCAATATGATAATACACTTTTCATTAAAGATTTAAAAGATATGTGACAAACAAATATATGTGAACATATATGTCAATTTCAACAGGGCAAATTTTATATTGCTGCCTAAAAGCCATACGTAATGTGACATGCAATACGTTAAAATAATATTTCATCATTAAGAAAACACCTTACTCGTCTTTAGGTCGCCGCCGACGCCGACGCAGATACAGGGCGCCTACACCAAATAAGCCCCCTACAGTCACGTGTCCGACCGTCAACAGTCAATATTTTACAGATGCTCGGACAAAAAAGCAAGTGGTTACATGGAATAGCGCCACAGCAACTGACGTCGATGACACATTAATAACGTAAGTCTGTTATGTTTCCATTATTCATTCACTTATTTTAATTAAAATGTTCGTAGTTATTCAGTAACAATATTCATTCTCATACCCTTTTCCATATATTACTGCATTGATGTATTAATGTACATATTACTTATTGATTAAGTAGCATTTAAACAAGATAATTTATGATTTTGTAAACATGTATTAAAACCTTTAATACTTTTTTAATTGCTGTTCAAGGTCTACATTGCATTGAAACAAGTATAAACTCACTGTCAGCATGATGAATGACCAGAATATTACATTATAATTTCAGTTAATACAACTACTCTTTCCTGATACAGCTTTAAGCACCTTATAGAACGTGAACAGGGTCTATGTATACCCGACATGTGTTCTGGTCATTACAATATTAAAAAGGACAAAAAATCAGAGTGAAGCTATTAAATTGGTTTCCTCAATGAAAGCCAATTTTTTTATATATAATAGTTTCAATTAATGATCGTAATAAATTGATCATATAAAGGAAGTTGAAACAAAATTACAAGCTTAGAACGTATCTGACAGACATAGCATGTGGACATTATTTCATTTTCCCACTTACTTTCCAAATTACTCTGAAATAATAAATACTTTTACACAATTTCTAAACGGTGTTGCATTGTAAAAGCTATTCGGTTTTGATGCATTCATTTGTCAGAATTAAATGTTTTTTTAATGAATTCCTAATTTGAGTGGGTTTTGTTATCAGAATTACACAAGCACATGGCTTAAAAAGTGGATCAGAGTTTAGCGAGGGATATCACTCATTTGGATATACTGCTAGGGACAGACATGGTAATGCTGATACTTGTTCCACACAGTTTGAAATTAAAGGTATGTAAATATTACCACAATCTATTTAAGAAAATTATATACAACCATAAAACAACTTTTCTGTTGTGTTAAGTCTAATATGCAACTGCGTAAAAATGTTTACTTGATATATCATTATATGTAGATTTTATTTCAAAGGTAAAACGTGAATGATATCTTAATAAAACATGTACGTATCTCTGAAGAAAGAAAGAGCCAACATACTAACGAAATCTTAATTGAAACCCATAATCAATGACATATGATCAAGAGAAAGAGTTCTGCCACGGAAACTCCAGGAAAAATACAAAGATAACACGGAGTATTCCAACCAGGTAAAATACAATGATAACACTAGGAATTCTAAACGTTTAAAATACAAGGATAACACTAGGAATACTAAACGGGTAGAATACAAGGATAACACTAGGAATTCTAAACGTTTAAAATACAAGGATAACACCAGGAATTCTAAACGGGTAAAATACAAGGATAACACTAGGAATTCTAAACGGGTAGAATACAAGGATAACACTAGGAATACTAAACGGGTAGAATACAAGGATAACACTAGGAATTCTAAACGTTTAAAATACAAGGATAACACTAGGAATTCTAAACGGGTAAAATACAAGGATAACACTAGGAATACTAAACGGGTAGAATACAAGGATAACACTAGGAATTCTAAACGTTTAAAATACAAGGATAACACTAGGAATACTAAACGGGTAGAATACAAGGATAACACTAGCAATTCTAAACGTTTAAAATACAAGGATAACACCAGGAATTCTAAACGGGTAGAATACAATTATAACACTAGGAATTCTAAACGTTTAAAATACAAGGATAACACTAGGAATTCTAAACGGGTAAAATACAAGGATAACACTAGGAATTCTAAACGTTTAAAATACAAGGATAACACTAGGAATTTTAAACGTTTGACATACAAGGATAACACGAGGAATACTAAACGGGTAGAATACAAGGATAACACTAGGAATTCTAAACGTTTAAAATACAAGGATAACACCAGGAATGCTAAACGGGTAGAATACAAGGATAACACTAGGAATTCTAAACGTTTAAAATACAAGGATAACACTAGGAATTCTAAACGGGTAGAATACAAGGATAACACTAGGAATTCTAAACGGGTAGAATACAAGGATAACACTAGGAATTCTAAACGGGTCAAATACAAGGATAACACTAGGAATTCTAAACGGGTAGAATACAAGGATAACACTAGGAATTCTAAACGTTTAAAATACAAGGATAACACTAGGAATTCTAAACGGGCAAACGTCTTCTGCTATATCTAAAATCATTCAGCGTATAATTTCGTTTAAACAGGAAACGCTGAGTTCTTAAAAGATGCCGATGTAAACAACAACGACAACAACCCATGTGTACTAACCAACACACGTTTACTATTCATCAAATATATATGTACACCTACTGGAAACCCTAGTCTGTCTGAATTGTTCCTATTTAAGACCTCATCTAAGAATTATTCTTAAAGTGGTTATTTGCAAATCAGGATAGTCATATATTATGTTTTGATTTTTTGTGATACAGTGAGGCGTTGTATCAGTATGCCACCTATACCAGAAAACGGGAAAATGTCTTGTGAACCCAGCTGGTACGATCCATTGCTTGGCAGTACCTGTACATGTAACTGTAATGCAGGATACTCATTGTCAGGAAGCTCCACAAGAACGTGCCAGAATACCGAAACCTTTGACGGAACACCGGCAGTTTGCTCCAGTAGGTTTGCTGTACAATGTATATACTGCAATAGCCTTCCGGTATATTCTCAAGATTGTTGTCACATCTTCTAAGTTTTGTAAATAATGTCCACATGCTGTGTCTGTCAGATACGTTTTTAGCTTGTAATTTTGTTTCAACTTCTTATATATAATCAATTTGGTACAATCATTAAGTGAAACTATTTTATATCAAACATTGTTTTTTATTTATCTGATTTTTACCTATTACTCCTTATATTGTATTTTTATGGAGATGTTCAGAACGTCATTTTCTTGTCCTGTTTTGAAGAAATCCAATGTCCTGACGTTCCCGACCCTGAAAACGGACAAGCGGTCTGTTTGTTTGGTAATCTCTACCAAAGTGTTTGCATGACGTCATGCCCGGTCAATCAGGGTTACGGCACCGTAGCCGTATTCATATATTGTCGTGACGACGGAACTTGGTCGGGTAGTCTGGAGCCATGTTATGGTAAGGAACCGTGGTATCATATTAATATTATAGATTGAGATCTGATGGTTCTGTTTGTATGTTTCTTTACAATGTTTAACAAAATCAATGACTAAGGGCGTAATATATAATTCATTTCTTTATGTGCTACAATACAATACTTTCTCGTCTTAAATGAAGGTGAATTTTACAGTTCGCCAATAATGCACATTTTCTGGAAATATATAGAAGATGAGGTTGATTCATAGAAAGTCTCAATTTTGTGGGTTCAATTTTTCCTGAAGCCATCAAATTCCCTCATGGCAATAACGCAAGTGCAAAACATGTACATAATGAAACCTCATGGAGGTGTCATCTTTCTCGATGATGAAATGCGAAGCTATATTTTTTATCTATTTTTTAATAATCTTTAATCAAGTCCGCGCCCTAATGCATAAAACAAAACAAAAATCTCGTTTTCTGAAGTTGAACAATTTTAGATCAGAATAAAAATTAGATTAGAATAAAAATAGCATATTAGCAAGAACACGCGTTATCATGAGCATTCTTTACAAAACTTACACAACGATGTAGTAGTGTATGCATATATCAAGATCGGTTGAAGGGAGATCACTCGTATTCTAGGTGCATTGAGGTTACCAGAAATTAGAATGAAATAATATTTATCTACAGACATGTTACGTTGGCATGACGTTTCCTTATTAGAAGTTATCGGAAAAATCGTCAATTATCAGAATATATATACCATTTCAGGAACCATCGTTTCCACGTTATAATCTACACCATGCTACGGCGACAGCACACAGATTTTAAGACATATTTATTCCTTAGATTTCATTTAAAAAGGACATCAAAATAAAAGACAAAAAAGAAGTTTGCGACAGAGTACTATAATTGATGGATGCTGCGTAAATTGTGTTATTTATTACAATTAATAATCACTTGAAAATTTACCAGTAACTGCTAGGTATATATTTGCACCTTTCTCAGATTTCCGTGCACCATCCTTCACTGAATGCATATCAAGTCCAATAAAAGTATACACAGAAAGAGGTCAAACATCTGCCATCGTCTCCTGGCCATCATTGAATGCCACCGACAACTCCGGTAACGCTACCATAGTGCAGACGTTAGGTGCTGCATCGGGGAGTGAATTTGCCGTGGGGTCCCACTCTGTCAGTTACGTGGCTCGTGATGCTAACGGAAATCAGTCTCCAAGCTGTTCCTTCACTGTTGTAGTAGAACGTAGGTATTCTGTACTGATTTTATACTATCTGAAACTGCTGTGGAACACATATTTGAAAAATATATTAAAATGATAAGCATTCATATCAAAGGATATATTAGCATGGCAGTCTAATAGAAAATATTGCTGAATCAATACGCCTGAATAACATATAATGAATAATAGTCTTATTCTTTCGGAATAAAAAATGACATTTTAAGTGACATACTGTATATCGGGAAAGTTTTGCGGGTATTCAATGATTGCGAATTTAAAAACCCTTTCAAAATCAAATAAAAACTCCAGATTGCTAAAAGTTAATGTTTTCTTCTTTGTTTATTGTAAATGCATGAGTAATACATCTATAGAGCTGATGTACCTACATGTATCTGAACATTTTCTAGTCGTGAACACTTCTATGATTATTAAATTCTCGTTGGTATGCAAATTTCATATCTAGTTTGACTGGTCAGTTTGATCGCCAATCGATGTTAGAATTTACACTAAAATATTCAGCCTTTTCAAAGTAGGCCTTCCAAAATTCTGAGACAATGTAATCGCATAAAATAAAGCAAGCAGAAATTGCAAAAGGTACATTTTCAGATATTTCGCGAAAATTGCGCAGCGCAAAATATCTCGTTACGCGGTTTGTTGAAGTATTTGAAATATGAATATACAAGGCCATTATTTGCCTGACGTCCTTTATTTTACAGAACTGGAATGTGATCCCCCACATGGCATATTTGATGATGAACTACTGCAAGTTGATTGTCCGGGGTCTGAGTACAAATACGGAATTGAATGTAGCATAAGTTGTATTCGGAATTATACTATCATAGGTAATACAACACTTACATGTGAACGCGAGGGAACAACTTCCGGGACTTTGTGGGACTGGGGTGGAGGAGCACAGCCCGAATGTGATGGTAAGATTATAGACTTATTACAATACTGGATACATTTCTTTTTGATCGAATATGTTGGCGGTTGGGGAGAGAAGGGTGGGGAGGGGGTGGGAGGAGGATGGGGTGGGGAGAGAAGGGTGGGGAGGGGAGTGGGGAGGGGGGTGATACTTCCAATTTGATATATGGTCCATATTAAAAGTGATATAATTATCATCATCATCCATTGTAACTGCGAGATCACTGTTAACTTGTTCATAACATTTGTAGGGTTATTGCAGGTACCAACAGAATACAATTCCTTTGCCTGGTGCATAACAGATATATTCAATTGTAGATAAGTGTCCTGAGCTCACACCACCCATCAATGGTGCCTTAGTATGCCAAACAGCTGCGAACTACTATTGTCGACAATCCTGCAATGCAGACTCCGGATATCCACGAGGAGTGTCACCGGGTCAGCTGTTTATTTGTACAAACACACAGGTTTGGGACCCTGTTGCCGTAGATGATTGTACAGGTATATATCATTGTAATGAAAAGCCCATCAGATATTCATTCAATCAACAAAAGTTTAGATGTAGTTGTAGTATTGATTCAATTGTTATCAAATGCGATTTTCATTTTCTGTCCTTTTTTCTACAGATTTAGATAAAAACTTTCTTCTTTACAGGACGGAAAGTCCCAAGCTCAAATGTGATCAGTGGAGAAATGCATTACTTTGTTGGTGATTGTTCAGACACCACTGTCCAAGAGGGTCTGAAAATCAATTTTATAACAGTGTTGGAAGATCTGATTGCAACTGGATGGAACGATGTGTGTTCGTCATCTGGTAAGCACCAAACATATCCATAACACATGCATTGGTCTGTATTGCACTTGTTTTTTAGTTATCCTTTTGAGACACAGGGAAAACGCTATCAACATGTTATCTAATCGTGAGGTGAATATGGCGTATTCAGTGAATAGACTCATGCCTTCCCCTCTCTGTACTTCTAGGGTGTTCAGTAGACGATGTCACCGTCACATGCGGTGCATTGTCAAGAAAGAAAAGAACGACTGCACATAATGGAATGCAGTTCGTCGCATCCGTGCAATCGAGATATGCACGTAGCACCTCTGTCATCACAATTGAGTTCAGCGTCACGTTTCCATGGCAAAACGGAACAACAGATTACAATGACAACCTGTTGTACGGAGTCATCGATGCTTTAGAAGAAGAGGCTGGCAAAACAGGTAGTCGATTAGACTATGAAGGGTTAACGCCCTCCCATGACATAGTTGCCGACCCTTATCCGATGATCAGTTGTGGACTTGGTGAAAATCCGTCATATGTAGGTGGTGAAGCTAACTGTGGTGAGTATAAAGTTATCAAATACACTAATCTAACTAGCTAGTGTGGTCCGGAAACATGGCTTTAAAAATTGCTTGGTAAATTTGTTTTACGGAAGAATAAAACGTTAATCTTGTTTGTTTATTACAGATGATAAAAGGGGTGGTGTCAGGATGTGTGAACAAAATGAGAATTGAAAATGTTTCTGAATCAAATTTAACAATCCTAATCTAAGTAGGTAACATGTAAGTGTTACTGTTGGAAGCAATCGTTTTTCATTCGAATTACTGTAACAACCACAACAATTTCAGAGCGATATATCTCAGTCGAGGGCTAACATTCTGTAGCGAGGTCAGACACCGAGATGAATCCGTCGGAATCCGTCGGAAACATATACATGTATTAGGGTTTTTTTTTTTTTACCAAAACCGCTAGTCTGCATATCCAAATTCTTGTTTGGACTAAATTACTCCCCTTTTCGCCTATAGGTCAGAGAGATAACTGGATATAATGACATGTTCGTTATGACATCACTAAATGTCACGTAAAAGTACCACACAGATTGGGTGAGACACAAAAATTATAACACTGAGAGCAAGAAAACCGATAAATTTCAATGACGAACTATGAAGATGAATTTTTCTTAATTCATAACTGTACACGTATTCATTCTGAATAAAAGTAATTATTTTCTTGTTTTGTTGCGAGGAAGCCCTCTTCGTTGAAATAAAATTGCCGGCAAATTGTTTTACAAAAGATCAGATGTTTCATCATTATAATCATAAGAATACAAAACACATAATAAATCATACCAATACATACAATCATCGCAAATTGTTTAATATAATGAAGAATTATCAGTTTTGTCTTTTAACGGCAACAGAGGGATGTGCCACTGGGAAATACTTCGACTCTACGGTAGATGATTGTGTGGTATGTCCAATTGGGACGTACCAGGACGAAAGTCACCAGACTACATGTAAACCATGTCCGTCTGACATGTCTACTAAGGAGACGAGACGGAAGAATATAACAGACTGTTTTCGTAAGTTTGTAATGGTGCACATGATAAGTAGAAATAATGCACAATGCAGTCGTTCTTAATTAATAAACATTCAAAGAAATCATATGATAAAACCTTATACATGTATCTGTTTAAAATGGTTTGGGCATTCAAGAAAATAAACCTTTTTCACGTTTCTTTTGTATGACTTGTCTTGAAAAAATAATATAGGGTGATTTTATGGAGGCAGTGGTTTTCTTAGATATGTAATTCATGTTTGTTTGAAATATCCATTTTCTTTCAACCGATTCAGATCCTCGTATACAATGCGACAAGGCAATGTATAGACCTTTAATCTATTTCATATATGTTCGTTAAGTAGTACAACATTTACTAAGTAAGCACATTACCTGTAATTCTAATTTAAGTAAATTTGGGTTACCTCTTCTATTTTTATAGCCAGGTAATTAAAATTAATATTACTCTAAAAAAATCGTTGATTTTAACTCCTTTATTTTGCTAACGTTAGTCTGAGGTAGTTTTTTGGTCCTGCTTTTGACGTGTCACTAAACGGCACTCAATGCTACTGAATATATTATTTTGACATACCATATCTGTTAGTTTACAAACATACTCAATACATCACACACAAGTTGAAAATCATGATACCTCCGATAATATACACACATGTGACCGCTAATGATAAAAATAAACCATGTTATTGGGAACACATTCCAAGTTATGGACATCAATTTGCGACAAATTAAGAATATAATGTTATAAATTACTGACGCGTTATGTTTCCAGAGGTCTGTAATGCTGGCACCTACTCAAACAACGGAGTTATTCCTTGTACCAGCTGTGCCATTGGGACGTATCAGTCGGCAAAACACAGCACTGAATGTCAACAGTGTGACGTGGCTTTAACAACCGTCAACCGAGGAGCACAGTCTTCGTCTGAATGTATCGGTAAAGATTGTTGAATGACCAGATAAGGCAAAAACAACCATATAATAAGATCATTTTCAGGAACAAATTATCCTACTCAAAAACGTTTCAAAATACATTTGATAATTAACTAACTAATCAATTCAAAGATATAAATCGATGTATTTCAGTTCACAGGATAGACATGAATGGGTCTAACGCTGACAAGGCTCTAAATGGAATAACACAATCTTTATTTTATAGGGTTCGACTTGATATTGGGATCAACTGGAGGAAAAGTCACATTACCGAGGTTAACTTCCTCGCTGAATGCTTTCTCAATGATGTTCTGGCTTAAGTGTCCTTTCGGAAATATCACAAGGCCTGCCATTCATTTTGTAGATAATGTACCTAATGTGGACGTTTTTCAGATCACCGACTCGCATATGCTTGAAGTGTTCGGGTAATATATTTATTTAGATATTCCCTACTTTCAAATTTTCTTCAAAGATTAAAATCTGATTCCTTTACTTTTAAGAGAAAAAATGTATCTTTAAAACAAACTAAATGGGAAACTTTCTAGTCACAGCAAAAGTATTTTAATTTTGGAAGTTGTAAAAAGGTTAATGAAAAGGGTACTTGGCAAATAATCTATGAAGAATTTGTTGAAAATGGTTTCACGTTTTCATTCTGGTTAGATTAGGTCAATTAATTCACTAAATCATATTTCCAAACGTCAGTACTTTCAGTGAAAATATTGATATGCCTGCAAACCAATAACTGATGTTGAATTTCCACTACTTCAAACATCGCATGTTAAGCCAAAGTTGTATTGAGAATGCTTTCATCTAGATTTTATGTTTAATCTGCTCATCTTTGTGTAATGCATTGGGGTTCAAATATGAGGTAGATTCTAAAGAATTATATAACTCTGTCACAGTGCTGGCCTCGGTAACTTTAATTCATTTATTTATTCAATGAAAGTATAGATTTAATTTGATCCACGGTAAATTTCTATTGTTTCTTAAACATCTTTTAGAATTAGACACAGTATTGCCAAATTATGATCGAACTGCTTTTCACAACCTTTCGCTTTCGTTTAAGACAGTGTTGCTAAGAGGCAGTTACCAACTAAGACAACTAAATTTTGTGGAATTTAAACATCATATTCCAATTACATTTTTTTTATCTGGATGCAAATTATTTTCTATGTTATCAAGATCCTCGTATTCCGTTGCTTTTGATACCTGGACACACGTAACAATGAGATGGGAAGAGACAGCCGGAATAGTAGACCTGCTGATTAATGGAGTCAATAAGGCGTCTGTAACTTTCACAGAGAACACAGTAACAGCTGGAACCAGTATCGAGATAACTTCACACAACGGTTATAATGCTGGTAGGTACACTGATTACATGAGAATCGTAAAGCTTGTTAGGAAAACCAAAGATTAACATTGCATGCACCAATCTGCCACTGAAATACTCATTTTGTAATGTTTTGAACAGTATGCGTAAATAGCGAAAGGAAATATATATTATTGTTATTTTGGAGTACTTAAAATATATATTAGAAGAAATCGAACCAAACCTATATTCTGAAGAGATTGCTACATTGCAATGATTCGTAGAAACAAGGAAAATGATAAAAGGACATCCTAAATATCATCTTTTAGTTTTTAACATATCTTTTACTTAATAACGTATAAAAGTAGATTTTTCGCCGTGAATTATTTTTATTAAGATTGAAGATACTGTTTAGAGATGTTTGGTAATCATACATGTTACAGACTGCAGGCTATCGGGGTTTTGGATGACTGATACGAAAAGAGCTGATGCTGAATTACAAGATGACTTGATCACTTGCACGTCAGATTCCACTGCTAGTGCTATCTACAACATGGATGATATTAAACGCCAGAATGGAGTTCTCCTAGACATTCCCTCTAAATGTGACGGTAGGTATGAGATACCGATCGTAGTATTCGTTATCGTGTGACTTTGATCTGGTGGTTACATCACATCGGTCGATATCAAGATAGTGCTTTATCTTATACACATTTAACAAAATACATCTTATTGAGATTATGGGATATAGCTTTGCCTTTACAAAGCACTGTATAATTATAAAATAAACACAGAAGCAAGTGTGTAATGTCACATACTACAAATTACACAACTATCACAAAATTCACCCAAAGACAATATTCTAAACATGATATATTTCTGTTTGACAGACTGATATTTTACCATTACGTATGTTATTAATATATGTTTTGTTTAACTGAGACACATCATGAACAACATGTATTATATATCAATATGTACTAAACCATTGAGGCCTACGAATACATGCCCTAATGTTCTAGATAATTGTTTAGTCACTTATCACCTCATACCTTGTGATCCAAATGATAATTGTGTTTTTGCAGCTGTTGATGAATGCGCCAGTAATCCTTGTGGAGTTCATGAATGTGAAAATCTTTTGAACTCCTACGCTTGTTCTTGTGTTGGCGGTTACACGGGCAGCAACTGTGATACTCCGCCTGATTTCTGTCTGGATAATGCTTGTGAAAATGGAGCTGTATGTTTAAATCAAGCTTGGAACTATACATGTCAATGCCTTGGTGACTTCAAGGGAGAACTTTGCGAAGAATTGATAGGTGAAGCATTTGAGGTTAAATTTAACTTTGTCAAGTGTACTGTTTACCTTACCTTTGTCCAGTAAGGAAATATCAATTTTCTCTGAGTCAGTGAAAACGTCCTTTCTGGTGTATCTGGCTTCATTACTAACTCGAATTTACCAAGATTTACATTGGTGTCGTCGATGAAGCAGAAGACACCTACTCCTGAGGAACACCTGGTCTTATTATCCTTGTGTTTTTTTCCCAGGAGCCCCGTGTAAATGTTTCTTTTGTTTTGTTGCATTGGATTTAGGATTATGATTATGATCTTGTTGACATGTTGCTACTTTTTACTATTTTTATTAACAAGTTCTTAATGATAATTATATCGACTGACGTGTTTATATCACAGATATTTGTAACATATTCGTGTAACGATGTAACATGTGTAACGATTGACAATATAAACTTATGAATTAAATATAGCATGTTTAATTAAACAGTACATGGACAATGGGCTGAATGGGGAGACTGGACACCGTGTAATGCTACGTGCAATGTTGGGCAACAAACTAGAATTCGTACCTGTTCCAATCCCCCACCAGGACCAGATGGAAATAATTGCACCGGAAATGATCAGGAGATTCAAGCATGTAATACAGAACAATGCCCCTGTGAGTCTTGGTAAATTTTATATAACTCTTAGATAAATGAAAATTTCTAAGTTTACTAATGCGTTATTGGTACATTTGTTTATTGGTCGCTCAGTTTAGTCTCTAGGAGTAAGGCTTCACCAATTTCACTTGCGAAATGTAAACATAATAGATTGGAGATGCAAGATTATTGCTATCCAGAAATGGAAAATGCACAATAGGGAATTCGAAACCATCACGCTTACCAAACGGCTTTATGGAAGGCTGTCCTAGTTGGTTTCGTTGTAGGAAAAGACAGAGGATAACTAATGTAGGAAAGACTGTTGTGATCTTGGTTTCAAAATCTGGCGGACATGGTCAATAAGTATCTTGTTATTTAACGACAAAACGTAAACAAAATATATCTGAACGTGAAAGCTATATCGCTAAACAGTGATATATTTGTATCAAACAGCGTGTGAACCTATCGCATTTATACTGCTGAAAGCTAGGAAGGTCATTACGGATCACTGTGACACAGTTGATGACTACATCAGATGCAACCTAACATGTGAAGCTGGCTATGACTTCAGCAATCAGCCTTTGGACTATTATGAATGCGGAGGAAACACATCTTATGAATGGAACGGGTACCCACCAAGCTGTGGACGTAAGTGTTTGTTGTATTCCCATTTTTAATTGTGAGTACTGTATTTTGTCATTGTTTTCAAGATGGAATGAAAATAAAATCGTACAAATGAATATAATGAAGAAATAGAATAATATGTAGTCCAAGTGATGGTTACGTGAAGAATAACGCCTTTTAGTATGAAGCATTTGGTAAACTCGTTTAAATTTGGAACAATGCGTATTGCTTATATAATTTAATTATTAAGATATAATAAATACAAAATTCAGTCTGGTGCACCTCCTCATTTAGAATTCGACATGTCCTTCAGTCATATGACAACCTAGCTCCTTAGCATCACTTATGAGTCCTAGAAGGGCGAAACAGCTGTATGATGCAATCTAACTCACGAAGTTGTTCTATATAATTCTAAATCAATATCAAAAAGTGTTACTTACTTGTGTGTTTTTGTGCAGTTTATACCGATTTATATGAGATATGTACATTTTCATCCGCCGAATTGCAGTCCATAAAAGTGAAACTGGAATATACTATTGGCTGAAACTAGTTTCCGTTTCCTTTAGGTATTAGAGGTGGCAGAAGCTTTAATATCAAAGCCTCCGTGAGATACACTGATACGCTAACATGCGGTTCCTCAACAAATACAGCTCTAATGGCGAATGCAGGGAACGCGCCATGTGTGGTTGACAGTACATGTAATGTCACCATTACTACGGACACTTGTCATAAAAGGAAACGCAAGAGCGCGATCGGAACGACAGTAGAGATGTCGTTCGTGTTTAATCTAGAAAAGATAGGAGATTTAAACGTCACAGCGTTCATCGAGTCGAATATCAGTGAGTTTATTTCTCAGTACATTACATGTAAACGTTCGTTACACAAAAGTTATTTGATTGCCTTGCTGCCGTACAAACTGAAAACTTTAAATAATTATTACATGAATTTCATTCAAAAGTATATACAAACATAACCATGACTAGAAATGTTTGTTTCACTTTAAGAATTAAGATACATGTATTTTGTATTGTGGTATGTAATATTCGTTTTGCACATAAATAAAAAAGTGGTTTAAATGTGAATAATACAATTTATCATGTTTGCTATTCGACCTAATTTAATTTTTCTATCAGTAAGCTCAGAACTGCAGGCTTACCTTGCTATACTGGAGGATTATGAAGATACAGACGACCTAATTAACAGCACGTCCGAGGCATTTTTCAACGTAATTATCAACGGCAATACTTACACAATTGATCCCGATACCCTCGTGATTGACAGTCACACAGCCTGTGAAAACGGAAGTGTAGACTTTGATGGTGGTTGTGGTAAGTCTTGTACACTGGTTATTTTTTCACTTTGATTCTTTTATTTCGAGATAATGAATGCATCCTTTATCATTATTTTGATAAATTTAACATAACTAGTTAGTTTTCATTTGTTTAACATTTACAAAAATACTTACATTTCAACACAATTTCAATCTCAAGATGTATGTAATATACAAGAACAAAACGACATGACAGCTTTCGAAGTACAACGAGAATAAAGACATCATGTTCCGGAAAGGGACGCGTCTATTACTTCATCGACGACAGATATCCTATGAATCATGATTAATCTTGTTAGTAAGAAATGTTAAGTTCGGAAATGAAAACTTGTTTAACAGCAACGAAAAGCAAGGCATCGAATTTATCCAGCTACATATCAACAGTAAACTTCTCCGTCGTCATCATCGATCTGCATGTGGAGTACGTTTATCTGCAAGTGATCGAAATTCAAACGGCCGGGTGAAGAATTTTTCAACATGCTTGAAATGGTCATGTTTATCTCAATCGGTTACAAATAACTGTTGAATTATTTCGGTCAGATTGACAATAATATTTCAGTATCGGTGATCGATATGTCACAAATCATTTAATAGAACAACCTCTGTTAAAGAATACACTATTTAACACTGATGTAAAATGGATGGACACCATATGTCTTGTGATTGATTATCGACCCATGTCTTGTTGACATAAATGCATGCACAGAATTACTTAAAATGGTGTCAATAAACGGAAATGTGTACATTTCTTCAGGAACATGATTATACTTTCAGTTGAATGCCCGGTCGGAACAAGACAAGATGGAGTATGGTGTGTGTTTTGCGACTTTGGCACATACCAGAATGAGTCTGGACAATCGGTGTGTAAGCAGTGTCCAACTGGTTATACGACTGAATTCGTGGGGATGATAGAGGAAGAGAATTGTTCTAGTAAGTGGTGGTCACTAAATAGCAATTAGATACAAAAAATGTCTGATGTCATGTTTCTATAGTCTTATCGAGAAGATATTCGTATCATAAACAAAACAAAACAAAACAAAAGTGTGTGTCTTTCAACGTTGATAACTGTTCCTATTGTACACCAGCATTTAGATCATCTGCAATTTTATCATTGTCATTGAGAAAAATCTGTAGCTTCTTTGTAACTTACTTAAGTGCAAAAACAACCGGGTACTGGTAGTCCTTTAGGCTTTAAAACTGTAATGTAACATATTGTATGCCAACATTAAGGTTCCAAATTATAAAGCAATGTGTCATATACACTAGTATGTGGTGATCAGCAAATTGAATATCTCATTTATATAAGTGTGTTTAGATATAGAGATGGAGTGTGCCATAACATATATTCCACTTCGTTTTAAAGTAACTGTCGTAACAACTACATCAGCCATATCAACAACGTCCACTACCTCATCAGTGGCTTCTGCAGTGACGTCCACAACAACGACAACCACGCCCATAACCACGACAGCACCGTCCACAACTACGACAACCACGCCAATAACTACAACAACCACACCCACAACTATATCAACTACACCAGCTACTGTGACTACCTCACCCGAAACTACCACGAGCACGTTGATGTCTTCAAAACAGACATCAACTACACCATCTGAAAAGACTTCAGTTACAAGAGACAGGGCTCCGAATCTGAACTATTCCCATACGGAAGAGTCTTTGAGTAATAATTTTATAAGATTCTCGTCGCTAAATAACATTCTTTTATTAGTACGAGATACTGTTGAACAAGGATCCATTAATGTAAAATTAGTCCTTTTAGAAACATATTTAATTTGATAGAATAAACCTTCCTTTTTGGGATTGCGTTTCCTTGTTTCTCTCGAATTTGAATAGAAATATTGTCTTCTGTTTTTGTGTTCTGTTGTAGGTTTACCAGTTGTAGCCATTATAGGGTCACTGATTGCTGTCCTGGTGTTAATAATCGTTGCCTTGACAGGGATTTTCATGTATAGACACCGACTGTCCGTCAGGTAACAACGTCCTTAGAAATATCATCAGCATAAAGAAACCTTGCTGTGGAAGTACGATTCTCCAGAAACAAACAGCCTTGGAGTTTGATGTTAAATAAGCTTTCACATGCTGAATTATATATATATTATTTAATTTATTTCTGAAACACAATTGGTAACAAACACAAAAGATGAAAATCATACTGGGAACCATTAACTTTGAATCAGACATATCATATAATTAATATGAAAACATTGAACATAAATACAAGAATTTAAGTTGAATGTGATGGTCCGTTTATTTTTATCACTGCTAATATAACCTTAGCTTCTTAACCCGAAGTATCCACAAAACATGTTTAGGTCTGCATACGCCAAATAAGCAAATATTTTATTTTGATTTCTTACAGAGCACAGCCACCGGAAACCCGACAAATTCAAGACATTCATTTGAATATTAGAATGCATTCCAATATTCCAAATACTACTTCAGATGTCGATCAGGGATTACCTCCCCATTACCTTGCTCGTCCATTACCATCCATAGAGAAGGGAGGATTGCCATCTGCACCAATTTGTATTACGCCTACACCATATAAGTCTGATTTTTGAGACTTAAAAGTGTCATATTAGGTATTTGAAAAAGGCTACCAGTTTGTAAGTAATACACCTATACCTGTGGCATCGATATGACATAAGTTTGATTTTTGAGACTCAAAAGTGTAATATTAGGAATCTGACGTCTTGTGGGATGATTTTGCCTCGAAATTTAGGAGATACGACATTCTTTTCCATGGATGCCTAAAAGAAACGCCGCCAGGTTGGTCAGTATTAGACGAACACACTAACTCAACACCAACCAGCTATTCGTCTGTGCTCCTCGCCGTTATTTTGGACGACAGCGTACTTGTTGTGCTGTAACCACAGTATAATGAAAGTTTATTAATTGAATGCTGGATTTCTGTTCTATATATACGACCTACAGTGTATATATGGTATCACAATATGTGTGCTTCTTCGCCTGTATATAGGAGTAAACAACTGTATGTTATCAGACTAAACAATTGTACATAGTGGATTTCGTTCTACCTGAGGGTGTCCTTGGCTATTTTAACATCATGTTGTATTCTTTTACTTACCATATTTTATATTTTTGTAATTAACATTTCTTTATAAAAACAAAAAGATTTATTGGGTTGTTTTTTCAATAAAATTGTCAGCTAAAAATCTGTTTTTGTGAGGCTTTTTTCAGTGTTACTTTTGTACTAAAGGTTGCTATGAATGTGTATGAATGATCTCTCTCGTGAGCAACAGGATTTTATCACATTAAATAAAAGTAGGTAGTATTTGTAGCACCTTGAGTGACTACCCATGCAATAGGATTGAAAATTGAAAAGGTCCGTGGGGCCTGTGCTACGACTCATTTAGTGTTGTAACCATAGGAGTATGACAGGGTTGTTTATCTGAAAAGAGTATTAAAACCATAGCGTACATTACCATATGATATACTGTTTGATTAACGACGACAAGTTTTACAATATGGTGGTAAATATGCGTGAGAATATTTCAAAAATGAAAAAAAAATTGTTTCAAAATTGAAAAAGTATTATTTTGTTTTGTATATTTTTGTTTTACATTTTTCGGGTAAGACAATGTTTCAAAGAAATTGTAGTTTGAGTACACCAGAAATCGTTTTATATAATTTGGTCCTTTTTTGTAAGAACATTTGGTGAACATTTCAGGAAAATCGAGAACCGTTGAAAGTGTCATTTAAAAGCCAAAAGATTGATATTTCAATTTTAGTAAGTTAAGTTGAGGTTCGACGGGTAAATGGCGCCTTCCGATACAGATTTAGAACTAGTAACAGTATCAACTGTTTTGTCTTTCTAGGACTTGTTAGTGACGCAAAGGACAGAAATTGTTGAAACCTAAGAAGTAACAGAGGAAAATCAATATTGGCAGAAGGGTTATGCGTGTGAAAAGGAGCTGTATATATAAAAGAATAAAATAGAATAACAGAGACAAATAATGAATTGAACTACATCATGTTACTGAGCTGTTTTGGAATGAAATAATGTATGCTAATAAGTGGTCGAGATGTATTTACCCTGACAAATCTTTGTTTCCTTTCAAGTAAAAAGAAAATCTCAGCCGATATAAATCACAGAAATTCCCTATTTTGCAAGTTTATATATTGAGTGTAGATGAAAAACTTTATCAAATGCTTTAATAAAATCACACAAAATAGCATCGACACATCCACCTCTATCCAAACTTTCTGTCCACTCATCAATAACATTTAGAAGCGTAGATCTGCCATCAATGAATCCCAGTTCTCATATGGTTCATAATTTCTACTCCATTATCTTCAACGCAACGCTGGTAAGACAGAAGGACCAATGATTAAAAAGCATCCTTGTGGTCTCCTTTTAAAAATATAGCCGGTTATGTTGGGACATCTCCAGTCTTCTGGTAGTTTCTCTGTATTTAAGAATGTTTAGAATATCAACGAAGACGGATAACATCTACTATCGCATCTTTCTTTCAGTACTCTAACATCAATCATATCTGCTCCTGAAAATTTTGCAGATTCCAAGTAGTTAGGTTCCCATATTTACCGGAGTAATATCGAGTCTGGAATATGGTTCGTCGTTTAGTTTTTCAATCTTGTGCATTGCTTCCTCCGAGTCTCTAATGAACACGGTCTGAAGGAAGTTCGCGGGAATGTTAGCTTTTTCTAGATCAAATACAGCTATGTCTTCTTATTTAATGTTTAATCAGATTAGAAATATTTGGCTTTGTTTTAGATTTTGCATATCGCTAGATCTTTTAACTTGTAGCGCTATTTGAATTTCATGCAATTAAACAATCTTTCTAATTATTGTCCTTATTTGGTCATTAACTTTACAATATTCTTTGAATACCTCTTGATTCCCAGTCCATAAATATTATCTCCATAACTTACTCTTTCTTTTAAAATTTGATAATGCTTGTCAAGGGGAGTTTTACAATTACGGCCCCCGGATTTCCGTCCTGGTTTATCAGTTTACCCGGAAAAATTTTTTTTGTACACATTGCTTCAGTTTCTTTCCTAAAAAGGTGCCATTGAATTTCCACATTCATATTCCAGTTTAAAAAATACTCTTGCAATATATTAAATTTTGCCGACAGTTCAAGGTAATTTCCTTTGTCATACCACCGTGAATATAACACATACGAATGATTTGCATGGGATGTGCATTAATGACAAGACTAGGTAATCGCAAAATGAAAGCAAAATTCAGATAGAAGTGGTGAATTGTGATCGGTTACGACTCAAGAGTTCGAAGCTCACCTGGGATATTTTACATATATATATATATATATATATATATATAGCAGCTCAATGAAGGCGGAGATGATGAGTCTCTCCACTGAATTTTACTTTAAATTTTAAAATTAGCTTACCACAATGGATATCGGGATATTCCTGCTACTTGTGGTAATGCTGAGCGTAATGCAACAAGGTCCCGGTGTATACCAGGGCCTTGTATGGTGAGTTTACAAGTTTTCTTTATAATGTCGCTGACAATTTTGACGAAACGCAAGATATTCCAAGTAGAAGCCAATGCTATTGCGAGCTTACTAAAATAATGCTACATTTCTTCAAAGAAATATTTTATCTCTAAATTTCTTTTTCTATTAAGCGTGGAACCCGAGCCAGGATATGTCCAAAGATTTTACCACTTTATCACCGCATCGGAATTCGATAAAATTTGTCCAACGTCTGCCGATGTTACACTGGCAAGGATATGATTTTCTTCATCTCGGATGTTTTCTGTCTACCTATTGTCTGTAACAATCATTATTCATATTTAAAAAAACATTTAATGCATGTTTCATTTATTTCAGCGAATTGGTAATGAGATATGGAGTACTCTCCTCTGTGCCCTTGTCAGCGTGGTGTTATGGAACGCTCCAGCCATTGGGAGATGTGCAAAAAAGGGATATTCTACCATGATGTCTACGATCCATGAATGGAGAACTCGTAAGTAATATTGACAGATGAGGTACGCCACACTTTTTGTTTTATTTACTTGACATGTTTTACTCTATCATGATGTACGTTATAATGATGTATGTTATAATCTTGTATAGGTCCTTCACGGTGTCCTCACTGCGGAACGGTCCCGTGTCAGGTAAAAAGAAGATCCTTTTGGAAACCCTCAGGATCCCGGATGACGGACAAAGCAAATTTCGTCAAGCGTGCAAATGCAATGAAATTGTTCAATCATGGACTCGAGTTATCAGTGGTGCTTACCAAAGAACTTCCCCAGGATGATCTCTACTGGAGGAGGAAATTCTGTCACGGTTTGAAGAGAAACACGTTGTGCTGTTTCCACTTTGCATCCAGCGCCAGATCAAATATTGGTACCCAGTTCCTCGCTAGGTCGGTAGAGTATTCCTTAGATTGAAATAGGTAGATAGTTGTTGATAAGAAAGCAGTCTTCTGTCCTACTCTTCCTCCAAAAATATGCTTTGATATTAGCTATCTATCGAGAGAATCATTAGAAAGATTCTGAACATCATAACGTCATCTGAACGTTTGCGACTTACGGTTTCCTCTCTTTATTTGAGACAGGACGAAAAATAAACATATCACTGATTGAAATGCGTTCATGTCTCTATAACTGCAATTAATTCTGATAGTTGCTGTATACGGTAGGAAGTTATATATGGTTTAGTTATGAGAAATCAGAACATTTATCAGTGATCACGGATACAATATTTGAATACACTCAGTTCTAAAAATACTAAATTGTTAAGATGAGAAGTTTTCCGTCGTTATTTTATATTTTGAATGAAAATATTTGACTCCAAATGATCTTATTTGTTGACGGATTCATTGTTAAAAGTAAGCTAACGAACAAAAGGTAGCGTACATTTCAGTAAATACCTTCCGTAAGATTATATCTACTATTGGCAGTATTGTTGACATTTCAGATTAATTTCCTGTCCTCAGCGAAAGATGTTCAGGATAATCGAATGATGGAGATGTTGCATCGACGCCATCAGTTATGTGATGTTCCACTCGGTGTGATGTGTTTATTTGTACTTTCGTTTCGGTCAGATGTAACCGAAGCAATCTTGATCATGAATGATCTTATCGCCTTTTAACCTTTGATTTTGATCTAAATTTGTCTTTTTTTGGTCACTGCGAGAAATTTTGAAATTGTTTCTACAATATCAACATAACTCGAATTGATATAGAATATTTCAGACAATATTACTCTCCATCATCCCATATACATGTGCTTTATTTTTAATATTTCCAATATGTACATTGCATTCATATCATATATTATGTAAGAAAAAAAGTCAATATTCAGTTTTATTTTTCTATATATTGTATATGAATTAATGGTTTAATTTTATATGGAATTTCTGATAACCTCTAGATAAACTTCATAAAAATGTACTTTCCTTTTTAATGAATCGGCCAGAAGAGAAATTAAATACCCTGAATATCCATTATGTAGTTGTTGTGTTCAAGTTATAATTTCACATACATGCAGTTATATGTTCACACACACGCAGTTATAATTTCACACACGCGCGCACGCACGTACACATCACAATTGATAACAGAACATAATAGTCTCATACAAAAACATGTAATGCTCTGTCAAACGTGCCATATACATAAAAAAGTAACCAATCTCTAAGTATCTTATACCGATAATAATTTGAAATACAAGGGGGTTTGACATAAGGGTTTTCTAAATCTTTTAATCTTTGGAAATTGGGTCTCACTACTAAATTGGTTTGAAAAGTATTTTTAAAATCGTAAAAACAGAGAGTTGGTACTAACGGCAAAAGTTCCAACTGGTCTGAAGTGAAAGCTGATGTTCCCTAAGGCCCCATTCTTGTGCCTCTTTTGTTCTTATTTTTTACTAAGGATATTATTGAAGATACAAGTGTTATCTTGTACGCCGTTATCGACTCATCAAGAATCAGTGCCAACATTTTTAATAACAAGCTTAGTAAAGTCCATTATTGGTTCAAGAAGTGGTCAGTAATTTTTAACCCTGCTGAAACTGAAACAGTTTTAAACAGTAGGAAATATATATTATCCTTTCCAACTGATTGCCATTGGAACAAAGACGTAAATATAAAATTATCTGTTTTCATACAATGGTTCATGTTCTCGCCCGCAATACCTACAATATATTATTCCTCGTCGTTACAACCCTATCCACGATCACTCTACCAGTGTCGGCAATGATTTTCGTCCAATTCCCAGTCTTACGACTTTATAAAGTGAATCTTCTATGCCTTCTGTAATTGAACTTTTGAATTCCTTACCAGACTTAATTAAAGATTGTCCATAGATTCTTATATAGAAAAATCACCTCTTCGATAGTTCCCACGAATTACCGCCTTTCTATTATATCGGTAGCAGGGTTTGTCAAATCCATCATTCCAGATTGAGAATGGAGTGTAGCCCTTTAATATTCTACTTATACTGTAGAAATCTAGCTGATAGCTCTTTATGTTCGTGTATGGAAAACGAAGATACTACTAAACGCTATTGTTACATTGCAGTTTTTCTGTGCACGTGCCTTTGCTGCAATAAATCACACAATCTCAACTAAATTGCTCTTATTCGGCTATGATGTTTTTTTTTGCTTGTTTTTGGTTTTGTTTTGTTTTTTTATACGCAAAATTTCCCCCTCAGATCGAAAAGGTTTGAATAAGTGTTTTTTTTCCTCTCAATACACGCATGTCTTTCATTTACCGTGGACTTTATATATATGCAGTTTGTATATATTTCAGATTTGTGTTATGGAAAATCATAGAGACTCAGTCCCCATTTCTCCCTCTTCTACACCTATAGACAATATACTATGAGTATTACTGTTTTTTTCTCACATAGTATGGTAGTTTATGTCCTTAATTTAGATTGCATTTTCTCTAACTGGAGATGGATTTATATAAGTTGTAAAACTTGTTTCCATTACATTTCAATTTCAATTATATGTTTGATGCTACTACTGATGCTATCCAAAGATAAAATAAAATACAAGCTTATAATAAATACATCTAAAAATAGACACATCAACCGGGACATAGATTTACAATTCTAAGTCCGGGATGTAACATCTATTGTTATTTTCTATATGTTACTTTTTCAGTATTGAAATTGTACATGTTGTTTACAAACATGTATTGGTTTGTTCATAACTATTACATACGGCACACTGATAACGGCACATCCCAAACGGTGTATCACATCAAGTGTGACATTTAAAAACTTTTCATTGAAAGTTAATTGTTAGTTGTGTAATTATTAAATATTTTAAAAAGAAAATATAATATAATATGTCAGAGGACAAAATTCTGACAACCCCTTAGTCCGGTTACAAGTGAAAATCTAGATTAATCAGGAACTTAAATCGGGTGCCACCAAAAGAGTTGATTCTTCTGAAAAAAAACAGGGAACATCACAAAATAGGCCATTTCTTCTTGATATCAAAAATTCTAATTTCTGATATCAAAGTATGATTTTTATATCAATCGTCGTTTTATATATCAAGTATATTAGATATTTAGTAATAAGCAGCGTATTATGTTTTACGTTATCCATATATATTCAACAGTTGCTGAAATTCCCAATACGGGAGTTTCAACAGCTTATTTACATAATAATCTAGTCTGTAACAAAGTATCAGGTCCTTGTGTAGTCATTGTTGGCAAATTTTCAAAAAAAACAAAACAAAACAAAACAAAAAAACGCAGTGATCTGGTTCCGGATTATTTAATTCCGTCTCCGACTCCTTATGTGAAATGGAAGAACGCCAGTTCATACTTCCGGTGTCTGTCATCTGTTTCTTATGTTGACAAAAAAGACAGCAAGATATGGATAACAAAACTCCGCACTGTCAACAGAATGGGGATATAGGTTTGCAGGTATTTACTCATTTGTTGGTGTTTTATAAGCGATCTCATTCATAAAGCGAAAACGCTGTTGGTTATTTTCTTACCAACGTCGTACACATCCATCACACATAGGCAAAAGATCTGTTGACTGTAAAACACCTGCGTTTGTTTCAAAGCAGACAAAAAGAAAACCGTGCGATTGAGTTTAGATAACAATGTTTTGTTGAAAATAGATAGAAAATTATTTATGCACAGGGAAAATAAATACACATTGATACTGAACATTTTTCGGTCTGACAAAAATGATCGTCACTCAAAATCATCCATTTGAGTCAAGTATATTGTATTTGAAGTCGGTACACAACAATAAACACTAGCCTTTTATAACCGACTATAAGCATATGTGAAATGTTTTGAATCAGCATGCAACAAAATGACATATCTATAAAAACATACTACTTATAGTTGTAAAATAAGAATAATACATAAACACATATAACATTACATATAAAAGTTATCAGAATAAAATTAAGATATATCAATGAATACACACAGTGTAACAAAAACTAACAAGAGCACAGCTGTGTTAGTTAAAATAAATAACTTAAACAACCTATGTGTAAGTTAAGCAAAACAAATAATCAGCACTTATACTACAGGTGTTACTAATTAATTTGAAATCCATAGCTACTGAAAAGTATAAGAAGCACTAAAATACAGTTGCTGAATTAAACAAAAGGCTACAATACATAAATAAGCTGTAAAGTAAGGAAACAATTAGTTAGAAATAAACTCTTCTGCATGTTTTCCCATTCCCCTGCCTGATTACAGCTTTAAATTCATTAAAAAGAATTAATTTTACACATGTAGTGGGGTAGGAAATTCCAAATATTGGCAGCAATCATTTGCACCATACCTCACTGTCTTGCTAAACTTTGTAGGTTTAAACTCTAGAATATTTGAATGTATGATTAGAAAATTAAAACAAAGTATATAAACTACTATGATGAAAAAAGAGGAAAACAATAAATTTTATTGACGATAACACCACCATTACTCGAAGGTGTACATATTGGAGATCACTACTCATGCTTGCCATTTGCCTTTTTATCATGCATGTCTGCTCTGAGCAAAAGAAAAGAAAATCTATACTGTGTAATGGAGTTCAGCTCATTAGGTTCTGGTATTTCTTGTTAATTTATCATTTGATGCTGATGAAACCAGCTGTCTATAGTCCCAGTTCTGCATCCTCTCGTGACAATGCAATATTAACATGATTATAAACTTTGTATACACTCTAGCAAGCAGTCATTTACTTTTTGCCATTTGGTTCATTGTTTTCTGGAGATATCAATATAGCCTTTGATCTTTTAAAGATTATTAAGATATTTTGTTTCCAATTACTGACATGTACATATAGTTGAACTATGAAAAGAGACAAGACATTGCAGGTCAAGATCATTTTTTGTCTTGGTCACCTTTCTTTTTAGAGTGTTACATATGGATGTAGAAAATTTCAAGAAGCTATTATAGTTTGCTGTCATTTTCTCAGTCTGGATGGAGATAATGAGCTTGGTCAACTAAAATTTGACAAAGTTGAAAAATCAAGTCTTGAGTTCAATTCTTAACATTAACCATCTACACTGTAAAGCTCCATATTATAAGTGTGTTTCTCATTGGTTAATGGTGAGGCCATCCATGCATGACAAACTGACACGGTTTTTATTTTACTATCCTTGTTGCCAAGAAAGTGAAGAAAGTAGGATAAGACATTTGTAATATGTAACTAATGCAACTTTATGGAACTTACTGATACATTCTTGGAACTTTAAATATTCAAGTAGCTAAACAAAAACAAAGTATTGACATTAATAATAATGAATTCAGATATCAAACTTTTCCATATTCAGAAATTTGTGACTTCCCTTTTTTGTTTTGACAGGGTATGCTGACAGATGTCATGAATGAGCTGATTGATGAGGTCACACTTGGTCTGTGCTTTGATATCCACAGAGCCTCAAAGATTGGCACATTGTTTTTAGGAGATACAGATCCAAAGTAATTTTTTTTTTTGCTTATATCAGATATCAATGAATTAACTTTGAATTGTTATACAGCTTTTTTCAATGAAAAATCTTTTGACTGCAACTACTGATTCAAGTTTTAACACTATAGTGAGTTTTGGGACTCAAATATTTGAGTCCTGGACTCATGCTTTTCCTGTGTCACTCACCCAAATTTCAAGAATCTCTATATCTCTTTCTCACTTTTGTGCTCTGGACTCCCTAGAAAAAAATCCTGCAGAGATTTCAGAACTGTCTGATGTAATAAAGTGAGATTAAGTTTTCGATCTCATGTAAAAGTAATGCCTTCCTGCTACTTCGACTTTCCACTTTATATGTTTTACTAACTTTTCTTTTTTTTTCTGCTGATTAAAGGCACAAAAAATGAAAATACTAGATTTAAATCCTATGCATGTTAAATGAATAAATTAACATTATATTTATAACTCATACCAGACAAATTCCAGTCTTTATCACTAATAAGATTACATGGACTACATTGCCTGATTCTGTGAGGATATTAAATTGGACATCACATGTAACAGAGTGAAAAACTATGATGATTAATTGTAAATTAATACAATATAAAGAATTTGAATCCTTATGCGGATTCTCTAATCAACAAAGGTACTGAATTCCTTGTGGCCACTAGCAATCAATTGTACCCATTTTTCAGTCAAGTTTCAATACATAGTAATTTTTGAAGGATTTTTTCAGATGAGTTCAGAACACCTTTTCCAAAATTGTATCCTAAAGTTTGAGTAAATCTCAATAAAAGATATGGTGGTATGGGATCTCAGACTTTAAGTGAATCCCACTATTTAGAGATATAATGGGTTATCAAATTTGAGTGAGTCCCACTACTCATGGTATTTAGAGATATAATGGGTTGTCAGACTTTGAGTGAATCCCACTACTTATGATATTTAGAGATATAATGGGTTATCAGACTTTAATTGAATCCCACTATTTAGAGATATAATGGGTTATCAGACTTTAAGTGAATCCCACTATTTAGAGATATAATGGGTTAAAAGACTTTGAGTGAATCCCACTATTTAGAGATATAATGGGTTATCAGACTTTGAGTGAATCCCACTATTTAGAGATATAATGGGTTATCAGACTTTAATTGAATCCCACTATTTAGAGATATAATGGGTTATCAGACTTTAAGTGAATCCCACTATTTAGAGATATAATGGGTTATCAAACTTTGAGTGAATCCCAAGGGAAATGCTTGAGTCAAGGCATCAATTAACTGAATCCTGAAAATCACTGATATACATACATACATACATGTATGACTATCAATAGGCTTTACAGATGTAAAAACTAACATTATATCCAGTGTTTGATATAATATATTTGTGCTTTTAAGAACTCAGATTTTTAGCTCTACCTTGTTTCGCCTGTTTTCTGGATTGATAGGATTTGCCAGAAATATTCTAATGGTAAAAATCACTGGACTTTTCAGTGAAATATAAATGATCTTCATTTATGACCTCAATAAAAAAAGAATATATCTTAGATTTGATTGAATGTCAGGTTTTAAGTCAAAAATAAAATCTAGGTAAATCAAATTCTGTTGAAAAGTGTTGTCTATATTGCTGTTGTAACTGTATCAGATAATTGCTTACATGCAGGTGATGTGATGATGTTGGGAAAGTGACTACTAAGCCAAAGTATTATGTATATGTATGAAGTAGTTGTTAAAACAATTGTTGAGAAGAATGTATTTGTAGTTTAACATTAAAATCCATTAAATGTCTGTCACAATCTCATTGTAGGTCACAACGTGAATATGGTAAGTATACTTTTATTTTATTTTACTTTTGATTACCTGAGTAATTTCCGGAAAGGTGTTTATCTGTTATAAATTATAAGTCAATTAAATTCTGGAGAGTAATGTGATACATCATACAGAACATACCAGTACTAGTGTACTGCTTCTTGATATATATTATGTATGTACTCTGCACTAATACAGTACAAAATATGTTTGTATTAAATAAAACCATTTGTGTTTGCCTGCAAGTACAGGTGCAGTGAAATAAAACAAGTACCACTATTTGGTTTTGTTTGTAAAATGGTGAATAATTTTCTTCAACAGAAATAGTAGAAAAACTTGGAGTAGATGTGTTTGGCCAAGTGCCAACGAAAAAGCAATTTGAATGCGTCTGTCCAAATTGCCAGCGAAATCTTGCAGCATCCAGATTTGCTCCCCACCTAGAGAAATGTATGGGCATGGGCCGAAATAGTTCACGAATAGCCAGTCGCCGTCAGGCCCGCATTGCCAAGGAAAGTGAGACAAGGTACTCGATGCATGTATTATGCACTCTCTGGAAATTTTTTTAAGCTTCACTATTTCATTTGGCATTTACATCTTATGCACATTCTAGCTTTGTTTGAAAAGTTTTTTCAAAAGACATAGCTATCCTTAAATTTGTATCTTACAAATTGAGAATAGCAAGATTTTTTTTTAAAATTATTATTGAATTAGAAATAATTTAGTTATTTTAACAGAAATTGATTTTTATATCTTTGCTTAACTAGAAAGAGTGGAAACAAGATGATAAGTCAACTGTAATCCAACTGGACATAAAGAATTTGCATTTAGCTTAGTCTTTCAGGGAGTTTTATGTACTGTAGCAAAAAAAATGGTTTTAGTTTTAGCACAGATGTACCTTTATTGCAGAAATTGAGATTTTGAATACTTTGACCCAATTTTCAAGTGAATGTTTTAAGTTGGAATGAATCGCCAATTTGAATATTTAATTCTAATTTACTTGAATAGTTTTAATACAACTTGAGACTCGAATTTTAATGTATGGAAAATATTTTTGACTCTTTCAGCAATTTGTTTATTTCGTATTCCATCTACATTGTAAAATTTCAGGAAACTGCATCACGCTCAATAATTCTTACAGATCATACGTATACAATCAGTCATTCAATATTTGTATTTTCAAAATAATTCTTTCAGTAGTTTTTCTGATTGCCTTTTGATTTTGTTCAAACATTCAACAAGTGATATACAATAATATCAAGCTAGTTTTTTCACTGTCAGATTGTTTTTCTGATGTTAATAGATGTTTAGATGTTGTTTGTCATGTAATTTTACAGTAGTCGAGTAGCTACACTTGGGAAGGTTGAGAGTGACGAACACGACAGTCCTGATGATGATAACGATGTTGACTGGAGTTACAATGTAGACAAGAAAGGTATTAATTAACAAGTAATAAGGAAACCATTAGACTTCCTTAATGTTTCTGATGTAAGTATTTGTATGATTCTGATATATACATGTACTAATAAAGTCAATTTAAGGAAGTCAAACCTACAAGGTAAGAATGACTTGTAGTGTTCATGTTTTGAGTGCTGTCATACCATCTAGAAAAGCAATCTACAGTTATGGGTTTTATGTGAACAGTTTTATGTTTAAAGATAAAATCCCCTGGTCACCACAGGGATTGACATGAAACAGGAAAGATGTAACCAACTTATACAGAATTTTTTTAAGGGTTTGTAATTTTGTCTTTCCACAATAAATGAGAATTACAGAAACTATGAACATGCTACTTTTCCTTTGGTGTCTGTGTCCACTGCAACATGAAAAAGATGTCTTACGTTCAGCCTTTCAGAAAGTATATACATTTTATACAGCTAAATTTATTGTATAGCTCATTCATGTGGCTTACAACTTAAATCATGATACACATAGAGATTACGATACTGGGCTTCATTGATCACCATTTATCAGGTAAAATTTGATTTTGATGGATTTTTAGAATAATTTCATAGTATTCAAAAAGTTAGATGTTGTAGGATTTTTAATCTGTCCAATTTAATTGGAACAAGTAGGAGTGATACTAAAATTATTTTGTACAAGTCTGATTGTCCTTTTGTTTTTTTTTTAGTATAATTATAAAGTATAGTTTTTTGAGGTCAATGTGATAAAGTCAAAATTTGATACAAATGAATGATCATGAATATAAATATATTGTATGCTTTGATTTGATTTTGGTATTTATGTAAATCACCTTGGAAGTACATCAATACATGTTGCTTAGGAGCATTTCATTTTCAGAACTCAGATTTCACCGTTCAGGGTTATCTGCCCTTAGGTCACTCCAAAGGATTTAGACTGGCAGGTTGTTTAAACTTTTGATATGTGAATGTATTCACAAACTCTAATAGATTGACTTTGAGATGGTGCTTACTCAAGTGTATGTGATTTGTTTATGACTAAATGTGAAGCCAAAATGGGGCAATCATGGATGTTATTTCAATATGTAGAATGCTGTATGTAATAGCAATGAAATAATGAATATATATATATATATCGAATGCTAGCTTTGCATTGTATTATGAATATCACTGCTGAGGAGATGGCATTTCATTGTGTTGACAAAGGTTGTGGTAGTCCTGGAAGCAGAGAATAGTGTAAAAATAAAGGGATGGTTTTATTGGGAAGGATCAATCACTTGGACAGCTATCAATGTTTCACGATATCTATTACCATAGATTTAATCACGCTCCTGTTGTTTTAAAGACTTTAAAATGTATAACATGCTACCAGTTGTTTGGTACTCTATTCTACAGTACTTAATAATGGTCAGTGAGTGGTAAATACAAGTTGTGTACAAGTTATCTAATGAACTCTGGACAGATATATTGTGATAAGTGAACATCTACACTTCGTTAGATAGTGGTGGTCTTCAGAGGTAAAAAGTTTTAAAATCAAACTTGACAATGGGGATTGCTGGATTCTTAGAGTGCTTGTGGTCAATTTACCTGGTATTAACTAAACAATGTATTATTTTTCTTCCATTGATGATTGTTGTTTACTGTTGAAAAATATTAATAGTAAGGAATAGAACTTTAGTTATCTTGTCTTGGTTTCTTCATTTTACATTTACCCTGGTTGTGTTTATTTCAGTGAAAAAGTTGAAGAAAGAAAAGATTTTAACACACTCTCCTAGAAGGAACAAGCATAATAAGTTTAGGAATGGAAATCATTTAACTGGTAAGTTGAAATTTGATCTTTTAATGCTTCTGGCAAATTCAAAATTTGAAAAAAACATACTTTGATTAATATCCATCAAAATGTCAAGGTGGTTTAATTCAAGTTGAATGTCCAGTATAATATGAGCCCTTTTGGAAACAAAATATTGATACTGTATGTATATTGACTTGTACATTGGTAAGAACATTAAGACTTTGAGGCTATCTTGTTAAATACTTTGTAAAACAGAGAGAAAGAAGAGGATATTGCCGATGTAGACTAATTCCTTTCAATGTTAATGTTAGAGGGAAGGAAAAATATCTTCTGATTTAACTTTTTTTTATCATCCAGGTGATAACAACTCTGATCGCTCAGGGACTCCAGAACCTTCCACACCTAGTTATGAGTTGATGACAATTGGTATGTACAATGGTTTTGTCTATAACATTTGTGGTCAGCTATAGACAATAAAGCAGATCTTATAGCATTGTTTCACTCGTATGTCTAGTCAACTGTAGAAAAATGCAGGTCAGGGTTTTCTAGCATTTGTGATCAGCTGCATTTGTGAACCTACAAAATCTAAATTCAGATCAGGTATTTGGGTCTAAACTTGTCAATGTTAGAATCCTGAATCAAAGTTATAATTTTTTTTTCAAACTTTGAGTTTAGCTGCACTTGTTGAACAAACAAAATTGAATTTAGGTAATTTAAGAAATATGAGAAGATATTATAATTCATTACAAATTTGATAGAAATCAGTTGAATTGTTATCTTCAAAGCAAAAAGAAAAGGATAGAAATCTAAAAAAAAATCAAATCATGACTAAAACAATAGTGAACTACTGACTGTGAATTCTAATTTCAGTGTGTGAAGTGCCCTTTTGGTAATAAATGTTAGATTATTATACCACTTATGGTATGGTCATTAATTAAAGTCTTGGGAATTTGATAATATCCACCTAATGTGGTAGAAAACACTTTTGTTGTCATGAGAACAGTTTACTGAACATTTACATTGTACATTGTTAAGTAACTGATCTAGTGAATAAATAGTGGAAGTCTTAGTATTTTCCTGCAAATTAAAAATCTCATTCTCAATTGATTTTTACATTTAAAATATATGTCAATTAACTTTAAGGTAAAATCTAAAACATTTATTATATATGTAGAATCCAAATATAAATTGGCAGAGATTTTGTTATATTATACTTGACTTTTCTGTTGTACAGAGGAAAGAAAGCAGCTTCTCCTACAAGTAAGTACTGTATTTCCTCAAATGATATCTACGTATTGAGGTGAAATACAATATAGAAATATTCTACACTAATATATATAGTATATCGTTCCTATTAAAGTTTTCTTTACATAATCAATATGTATGTTAACTAAAGACAGTATGTAAGCATACAGGTGGCACATCTGAAGTATTTTGATTGAACAAAACTATCTGTAATAAACTGATTATTTTTTAGATTAATACTAGATTTTGACAGGCAACAGCTTGATTAAAACTAATAAATATATATATTCTTACATTATAAACATGTTTAATGTGTGGTGGAAGTTAATATCAAATCCTGATTAAATTATTAATTTTTTCAGACATGTGGCGTCATATCTGAACACACAAAGAAAATGTGCACAAGGTGAATACTGTAATCATTGTAGTGGTTAAACTTTGTTTTACTGTACAACATGTTTGTTGTAACTTATTTCAGTGATGTTTTCGGTACATACAAAAGATGTATGTGTTATTGGCTGAAATAAAGTGATAAGTGATAAGTTTACTATGATAATTACATTATTTTTCTTATAACAAATAATTCCATTTTAATATAGTTCAAAAAAGTGTCAGTTATATACTACAAAACACAAAGGTTTGGACCGTTCATGAAGAAATAAATACAATATCTGTGTTTCCAGATCTCATCGCTGTCCACAACACACAGATGAACAACGGCGACAAGTTCGGGTATTTCTCCTAGGGCATGCGTAAGTAGAATTGTCTACTTAATTTTCTTCTTGGAGTCACTATGCTGTGTCTTTTATTACCAAGTTATTTATTGTGACTACTTGTATATTTATCTATGTATCCTTACATTAACCTTTCATTTTTAATATAAATTATATAAAAGCTGTACGATCCTTTGTCAGCAGTGTCTAGGCCCAAACCTGTACCGTCTGGGTAGATCTTGATGTGTTGCAGAATCTAACTGCTTTCGGATGGTAGATGAAGTGATTTTATTATAATTATGTAATTCAGTAGTATGAAGTAAAAACCAAGAAAAAGTTTTGATGTCCTACCAGCCCCCACAATATTGTCATGTAGTGTATTGATCTACTGGGGTACATTAGTATGCGTTTTAAAAATCTCTTCATTTTTTATTATGTCAATTAGAAATAAAGGTGGTGATCTTCAGGGATACATTATTATCCCCCACTTTCACCGAAACAGGGGATATTAATTTGGGTTTGTCTGTTTGTCTGTCCATCTGTCTGTCACACTTTCATTTCCCTGTTCTAATTTCCCCAAATATCATCCAGTTTGGATGAAACTTGGTCAGCAGATGCATATTAGGGCACATGAGACTGAGTTCAGCAATCAGCATCATCTGTTAATATCTATGCATACTTATTAGGTATCCTTTTATTTCATTGGTTGGTCAGTTTTTGTGCTCTAACTTTCCTAAATATAATCTGATTTAGATGTAACTTGAAGTCCCACAAATATTATCAGTTTATCATTAAACTTAATATTTGATATGTGCAATAAAACATCTACTCTCTTTAATCCTTTACATCTTTCTTTGGCTTTAAAGCAATACATCATAGCTCAAGAGAATATATCATTCTACATAGCATTATGACATGTTTACTCCTAACCTCTAAAATATTTACTTACAATATGTTTGGAAAGCGGGGGATATAAATTCCATAAATTTGCTTGTTTGGTTTTATGTTTTAAACCTTTCGTCATGTTTATTATGTTGATAAATACTAAAGGTGTTTATATAAGCCCATGTTTACATTGTAAATTGGTTTTGTATACAGAAATGTGGAGGATGATGTTCACATTGACATTGACAGTCTGGATGATGTCGATAATCAGTCTCTCAGGGAATCTTTACAGTGGGAGGTCAACTCCTCGGCCTCTTCTCCCACTGATTCCACCTCCACAAACAACAGTAAGTATCATGGAAATTTCAAGTGTTAGTATCATCAGCAACAGCAACTTTTCAGCTGATTAATTATACTGGTTATTTTTTCACAGGTCATAAATGATTGAAAAAATAGAAATTAGATAAGTTCTGATCTGTGTTTATCTGTTTATGGGATTGGAAAGTTCAGACATCCTCAGCCTTAGGTGAAAATCTCTATATTGCTTAGCAGCAATAGTGCAATATTCACCTTGGCGAGGATCATTCACAGTGATATTTCAGGTATCTGTTCAGCCTATCAAGGATGTTTGTCATTGATTTTCATAGTTCAAAACTTTACACTAATTGGAGAAATCTGTATCGCAAATGAATGCAAAATGATAAGTGTTTTTCTTCTGCTGTTACAGGCACATCAGGTACCAAGAAAAGACCCCCATCAAAATCAAATTCTTCCAAAAATTCTAACTCAAAGAAAAAGAAAGGCAGCAAACATTCATCAAACTCCGTTACAAATTCTCATGGAGTGTCAACAAACTCTCTCACATCGTCGAGCTTGTATGACTTTGAATGACAGCAAAGACTAATCTAGTTTTTTACAATGTATTACAAAACTTAGTCCATCATTATCATCATCATCATCATCATCATCATCATCATCATCATCATCATCATCATCATCATCAAATTGCCCTTCGTCTGTGGTCTGTCTGTCTGTCCCGACTTAAAGAATTCTTGTTTTTTTTATTTCTTCAAAGATACGGGATTGGTACCTTGTTGTGTATATTCAATTTTGGGACTAATTTGGAAACCAACATGACTGACAGGTGACCATCTTGGATTTTGACAATGAAAGTTTGTTATCACTATTTCTTGAAAAGATGAATCAATTTCACCTTTCATGTGTAGGTTTCCGTTTGTCCTGTTTAAGTTGTACAGGATTGATGTTTGAACAGATTGGAAAGCAAAATAGCAAACAGGCTGTAATCTTTGATTTTGACAATTGAGGTTTGTTATTTTGTGATCAGAAATGTAGATGGCCAATATTGGTGACCATTTTAAGACACTTTCAGATCGTAAAAACCTTTTCTGTAGATACACTGGATAGGTACTTTTTAGATTTCATATACATTATATTGATTTCCATTTTGTTATTGGTGTTACTAGGTTAGTAATTCACTACTCACTACAACATATAAAGGATATAAGTGGAAAGAAGCTCTAACTGAAGAGCATAAGGCCAAGCGTAAGCGCCAACATCCCTAGAGGATCTCGTTTGATTTTGTATATAAAACTTGTGTCTGTACATGTAGCTCAAATTTATACAGAGTTCATCTTTAATTATTAATAATCCTAACCACAATTTTTAGATGAAAGGAATTTGTTGACAAATTTCTGTGTATATTCTGAACACCAATTTGAACAGTGAAATAGAATACATGTGTATTTTCAAATTTCAGTGAAGTTATTGTTGTGAAAGATTCAGTTAGATGGTATACATGTACTCAAAATGTAAATTTTGGCTTGTTTGTTTCAAATGTCATTGTCAAAGTACTTTACTTTCACAGAAATAGATTTTTAGAAGTCAACCTGAAGTTTACATGACTGCTTTACTTCTGAGTATATTTACTTTCAGAATTAAGTGCATTCTGTGTTAATTGAACTGTTGGTAGATTTATATCATCTTTGATCATATCAGCTTAAGAACTCTTCAAATGTTCCCTCAAGAATAGCCAGTTTGCCCTTGTCCATAAAAATCTGTGCAACACTTTTGAAATTTGCGGATGGCCTTTTTCGTGATCAAGGTACTGGTTATTGAACCAGCTGTAATTCCAATGGAGAAACAGCATTTATCATATACACAAACGATGCATAATTTCTCAAAAGGATCCTGAAAAGCTGACCATTGTTTGGCGTCCCAAGTGCTGAAACTTTGTATCATACAATTTATTTCAAATTTATTTGTTCAGTGTATGAAACTGTATCGGTCATATATTTCTTAAATGTTGATTGACATGTTTTTGTTTAATTCGGTAATGTTTTGACTGATATATTATCAAAACATATTAGAAGTTGTAGATAGTCTTTTAAACGACAAGTTTTCAATTTTTAGGTCACCTGAGACAATGTTTCACAAGACCTTTTGCAATCTCCTATTGTACATGTGTATTGTGCAATGTTCATCCAAAAATGATTTACATTTGCGACTTCTTCTAAATAATCCCTGAATCATTTTTTACGCAATTTTGCAGAAACCTTAGTGAATCAAAATTGTGAATTGTGTGCTTGAGCTTCCCACCCTTCAGAGGCCTTAGAAACAAGGCCAAAAGAGGTCATATTGGTTCTAATTTCAAAAATTTTCTCAAGATTCAGATAAAGTAGGATAAAAAATACTCTACATAGATGTAAGGATGTGCACTTTACCAATATTGTGAATTACTCACTGGGGACAAGGTAAAATTTACTACAATTTAATAATCAACATTATCTAGGGCATAAATTGTTTAATTAACAATGGAAATAACTCAGATTTGATTAGAGAGTATAACATGGGATGGTGGTAAATTTAATGCACAGTTTGCATTTGCATTACATGTTCAGTGTAGTTCAAGTTTTAATCTTAGGTTTTTAATTAATGATTCTATGACATATCCAAAGCTGTGTTACAACAACAAAAATGACAGCATTTAAGTAACTCAGGTGACTGTTAAGGCCCATGTATCTCTGGTTAATGAATGTACTTGATTGTGCCAGCATGTTTCTTAAGATAGGTATACAAGAATACAAGTGAGCTGTATGTAAATTTCTGTGTCTTTGAGACATACATTTGTACTACTGTGTTTTAAGGGTCTCATTTCTGTGATTTGTTCCTGGATTTTTGCAGGTTTATTATTTTGTATAATGCGGTTACATGTATTTAGTAAACAGCCCTTTAAAAGTGTCACAGAAAGATAGTTTAAAGGCAAAGATTTCTCAGGGTTCAGAATTTTCACACTTTTACTCAGATCTTAAATATGTAATTAAAATACAACGGTTGCTAAATATAAGCGCTATGCAAACCTGTGTATGCCAACATTCTGTGTGCTTTAACAAGAATGGAGCAGGACATTTGATTTATATTAAACATGTGTTGAAAATTTTGTAGAGAAAAATAATTTTTCATAGATCTATTCTAGATGGTATTAGAATTTATTAACAAAAATGAAGTATTATGATAGTAGTGATGTATATGTTTATAAATATGTATACAGCTAGTTTGATGAAAAGTTCTTTTTGTTTTTAATAATGAAAATGGGAGATGTTGAATTTTGTTTGCATAACTAACAGAGTGCTTATCAGTGGATTGTGTTTTCATTTTTTTACCTTGTTGAATTTTTTTGTATTGTTATTGTTTTGTAAGATATCGATAGGAGAAACATGCAGATGTTTCATGTAAAATATTTCTGTATTATACATGTAAGTATGCTGTAATGTCTTGTTAAATATTGAAGTGTTGAAACACAGAGTTTATGAATGAATTGATTGAATGTAGGAAAAGTTGTCATTGTTTAGAATTAGGAGGCTTAAAAAGTTGTGGCGTTATGATGCAGGGGATGAATATATCTATATATCAATATTGTTGAGAAATGTACACATGTATAGAATTTATCTATAGATAGGAAATTTCAAAGAGGGGAGGGGGTTTGCTTTTGAATACAGCAAAATACGTTTACTTTTGATTGATACAGTACACTGAAACTTGTTATTAAAGAATAAGCTTATAATGATCGTGATAACTTTGGAAATTCTAATATTTTTCTCCACATTCTTAAAAATGTTTTTAGAGATAGTAGATGCTGATGATGAGATCAGATGATGTGGGTCATTTTGTTAACTATGTTGTGCAGTTTTTGATTGTTAGAATTAAACTATCATTTTCCTTTCCTTTTCGGAGAATAATTATCGTTTGTACCCCACCTATCACATTACTGTATTCAAAGCTGACAACATATGCTGTGCAGAATGATTCATTTCAGTCCACCATCATGAGATCAGGGTGGGCTAATCGTCCTACATCATTGGTCCATCCTCTGTCTGAAGAAAATACATTATCGCAATTTCTTAAGATGTACAGGAAGGATATTTCTCAAACTTCATATGTAGATTACCCTTAACATGGTGTCTAGTTGTAACCATTCAATTATGAGAGTAATCAAGAAAACAAAATGGCAGGTGGCCATCTTTTATTAGTATTTTTCAAGAAGTGTTGGATGAATTATAATTTCATGGATAACTTGTGGCCATCTAGAATTTCAATATATCAATTTATTATCTTTTTTCTCTCATGAAGTATTTGACAGGTATTTCTCATATTTTTTAAATCAGTTTTATCAATTTACCTGTTAATGCAACAAATGGGTAAGATCAAAGAGTAAAGAAGGAATAGATCCAATTACATAGAACCAATTAAGATGATAAAATGGTGGGCTCCAAAGTCCTTCTGATTTCTGATTATCAGAACATATATGTAAAAAGGAGTACATTGTACATACAGCGATTTCAGTTTTACTATATACTATGATAAACATAAGTTATTAACCAATTAATAATATTTCTTGATATAAATGCTTGACAAGATTTCTTATTACATTCAATCTTTGTAGGGAGCTTTGGCCACTGCTTGCCAAACAATGGCATTTGAAATATTTACTATGTTGGAGAAAAAATGCTGATGACCTTCATTGTTTCTGAAAGAGTCTTCAAGAGTGACAACTTTTATTTATTCTTGTTGGTGACAGGAAAATCAGCACTCTTGTGCCTAGATATGTTAAGAACTTGGAAGACCAAGTTATCATAGCCCGTCTTGATTTGGTAAAATTCGTCAAAGTCGTTATCGTTGAATTTAATCAGTCTAACATTGGAGTGTTTCAGTTATTTCTAGCACAACATTACTGTAAATGTGCCAAGAGTTTGTCAGTTGTCAATAACAGGAATATGATGGTCATTGAGTAAATGGAATACTACATATTAATTAAATGTGTAAGAAATGAATGACTTTGATTTGGTATGAAAGTTGGTATAAATGTGCACTCATATTCACCTGGTGAAATATTGTGTGTTATAAAAAGTGGAATGCCGTTTGTATTGACAATAAATTATATGTTGTCTCATCACAAGTTCTATGCCTTTTCACTTATTAGATTTACCATTATTTTATCATAGTGCTTAAAACATCAGTGATGTATAGACCCTGAGACTTGTTCCGACTTCGGATATGAAGCTTACAAATCTGAAGTGTGTTCTTGTTAATGTTATTACCATTTTAAAGTATACCTTTTGTGACATATCTAACTAACCAATTAAATGTCAGTTCAGAAGTATATGTAATGGCTTCTATGCAAATGTCAGCTGTGCACACGTCATTACAAAATGAGACAAAACATTATTCAAATAATCCTTATTTCTTTACAACTTTTGGGTGGAAACCTACTGGGGCTTCATCCGTGGACACTGATGTATGTGCCCTTGGCAATATAACCATCACACTAAGGTGTACAAGTCTGCTTGAAATGAAAATGTTTCTTTGTTAGATTTATCGTCCAATGAACAACAAAGTGGCTGGTTGCTTCCTAGCTAACAACTTGTGAGAGGTCTGTTTCATATCTTCCTGAGAAATACAAACTGCCATGGGGGGAGAGCATCAAACCATGTATCTCGGATCTTCACCTGAGGTTATTAGGCAAACACTACCAGACTAAGCTATTGCTACCCCACTCGGTAAGAGTCCATGACAATGTATTTTAACAATTTTGAAGTATTCACAGACACATTTTTTCTTACTTCCTTATTATAATCTGGGCCTTATTTCAAGGTGGTGGCAGTTACTGGATGTTGATCAAAGATTTCAATGATGATGTCAAAATGAAGCAGAAAATGCTTACCTTTCTGGAATATTCTGGTCTTATTGTAAATTTTTCGTTTGTTTATATTTCAAAGCCTTCATACGATTGGTTAGAATTATTATTTTGTTGACATGTTGATATTTTTTTGTTTTGTAGAACAGTGAATGTTTGTACTTAGTGCAAAAAGAAAGAACAATATCTGTTTCCTGAATGAAAATCACATTTTCTGTTTGTACATATTTATTCCATTTGGACATGATATTACTGCACTCTCCACAACATAACATATGCGAGATCTTAGGGACTAGCAATTAAATTTCTATGTACAATCTAAGCGATTACAAAATTGGAAAACCATAAAAGCACAGCCTGTTCTTGGAATAGAGAGTTGATTGAAATGGATAGCAGAGCAGTTCTACATTTGAATATATATTGTGTTAAGCAAATTAGTTATATAGTAATACTGCTATCTATTACACTGGTACTATACATGTTGTACATGGTCCAATTTAAGTATGTATTGGAAGATTTCAGAAAATGTTATACACATTATCATTCAACCACAATTATAAGTAATATTCTTATGGTGGTGATTTTTAATTATCATAAATTACCAGAATAGAAGGATCTCTCACATTGTACTGAAATACATGTGTGAATACCAACCTTGTGCAAAACCCAAAAAGAAAATAATAATGGACAGCATATAGCATTCACTGGACATATTTCTAGATTATTGTACTGGGCTCCATTCTGACAGAACAGGTGTTGTGTATGTCTGTTACTATGTTCCAATAACTACCCTAGGTATTGTTCCCAGCAAGATTTTGCATATCTGGTATGCAAAGGCACATGTAGCACCTAGTTTTAAGGTGTCTTTTTACTGAAATAATTTTCTGGATAAAAGTTCTTTTTTTTTCTTATTTGAAATAAATTGCAAGAGTAAAATAAAATTTAAAAAAAATAGATAACTTCGAAATATAGAGGGAAAAAAATGGAAACAATACTCTTTGCCTTATAAGAACTAAGCCTCTCCCACTTAACTTTATCACAGGCAAATTATAGATATCAATTTTGTGACAATTATTAAGTTAAATGGTATAAAACTCTCACTGAAATATACTGGTAAATATATGTAAAAATTAATGTTATAAATAAATCTTATTGACCACTTATAAAAAATGTCTTAAATATTCTATAAGGTTATTGATAGTTGAGACATCTCCGGCTAATAACCTACGATGCACACATTATATGACAATTCTGTTAATT